ATAGCAATGGGAGCTGCACACTCACTGACATACCATGTCTTGGGCAACACTCACACTGTAAAAGAGGCTGACAGTGTCTTCACCTGAGGGAGCCGGTCGGCCGAGCGGACAGCACGCGGGACTTGTGATCCTGTGGTCCTGGGTTCGATCCCAGGCGCCGGCGAGAAACAATGGGCAGAGTTTTTTTCACCCTATGCCCCTATTACCTAGCAGTAAAATAGGTACCTGGATGTTAGTCAGCTGTCACGGGTTGCTTCCTGGGGGGGGAGGCCTGGTCGAGGACCGGGCCGCGGGGACACTAAAAGCCCCGAAATCATTTCAAGATAACCTCTTGTGGTTATCTAGAGATGATTTCGGGGCTTAGCGTCCCCGCAGCCCGGTCCTCGACCAGGTCTCCTTTTTGTTACACATCCTCAGGAAGTAGTCCATAGCAGCTGTCTAACTCCCAGGTACATATTTACTGCTAGGTGAATAGGTGCATCAGGGTGAGACACTGCCCATTTGTTTCCGCTTCCACTGGGGATCGAACCCAGAACCTCAGGACTACGAATCCGAAGCGCGAATCCACTCAGCTGTCAGGCCCCTGTTACTCCATATTACCCTCTGATCAAATACTGTTTTTCTCTTCCTTGTCTTAGATGCTTGTAGCTTTTGCCTTTTCCTGATTCACTTAAATCTGCTTACTTGGATATTCCTTGGTCACTACACACATTCTTACCTCTCACTGCTTGAAACTGGAAGCTGCTTCCATTTTGTGAGTTCCAAATTTAGCTGTAGAAAATCTCTTGTTAAGCCCCATTTAGATTATGCAGTTCAGCTTGGTGGTCACCATACTATGGAAATGGGCATAAATTCACTTGAATGCATTCAGTGAAAGTTGACAAAGTTAATCCCAGGAATGATTGAAGAAACCTTAATTTCCATTCTGTGGAAAGGAAAAGAATTAGGGGTCATGGCTGTTAGTTCAGCCTTGAGTGCCCCTCAGCCTTGCCCCACTTGTGTTGCATTTTGATATTTGTCGTATTGCTAGTGTCCCTTTGTCCCGTACATTTGACTTCTACCTTCTTACCTTCAGGTAAAAGTGTCTGCTGCAGTTTCTGTTTCTTACTTTTTTTTTAACTTTCTTCCTTCACCAAGATGCTGCTGTTAGTTAACTCAGGATTTACCGAGAGGACCCGCTTAGAAATTGAGCATTAAATGTAATGAAATGCCCTTATCTGGTGGGCCTTCAGTAGCTCCTTGTAATGTAGAGTTTGGGTCCATGAGTTAGAGCCTTGGGTGATCTCTGCTGCTGCCTGTTTGGGGTTAGGTGCATAGCTGTTAGCTTGTTTACCTGAGGCAACAATTGTTTGCCACATTACCTCTGGATAATTTTCTTCGAGCAGTTACTTGTTTTGCTGCACTTACGCTTTTAGGTTTTTCTTGAGGGGCTCCTATTATGGCTTCCTGGTGCTATTATTCTGGGATAGCTGCATCCAATTTTAATCACAACTAGCCCTGTCTTGCAAGTCATTGTAAGTCTACTGGGTACCAGAGGAGTAGGGTCTAAGACCTGAGAAAAGTATGTACCCTCTATGTCATCACTACTCTGTAAACAAACTTAGCCCAGCCTGACTCGATTTGACCCAATTCGACCTAACCTAAATTGATCCAACCTCACCTACCTTAACCCTTTTTCTGGGGGGAGCCCCGTCGGCTCCCCGGAGCTGTCCAGGCTGATATTGCTAATGTCAGACTTTGGCATCAGTCATGTGTATGGAGTTCTTTAGGCCTACCGGGGACCACAAGCCAGAACCTGGCCCCCCTCAGACAGGCACGAGGAGCAATGGCCTATAGAAACCCCCATGTGGTTGGAAGCATTCTATGTCTGCCATTGACTGGGTCAAGCACCCAGAAAGGTAAGCATCCCCAAAACAAACCCCTATTCTGGTTAAGAAAAGGTTACTGAGAGCCGAACTAGTGGACAGAATTCCCAAAATAAAAACTAGCTAATGAGCATGACGTCACCACGTCTCCGCACCGCCATCTGTGCAGCTTCCCCCTCCCCGGGAGGAGGAATGGGGAGCCCCAGACTCCTCACTCCGGATACCCAACAACCCCTGCGCTAGGCAGAGGTCGTGTGCTCTGGCTCCAGACTTGGTTTCAGCTCTATACCTTGTGGCGTGGTGGATGTCTTATAGGGGGTGTGCGAGCCAGGAGTAATTCTTCAGTAGTCGGGCTGCATGCGCCTAGGGTTCCCTTCCCTAGTTGCCCTGTAAGTACTTCCCTTGGTGCTTGGAGCCACCTTCCACAAATTCCTTGGGTTCTACCGCTGCTTGGCCATTTCCTGCACAGTTTTTGGCCGCCCTTTGTGAACTAGGGTGTTCTGACTCCCTTGTTCACCTTAGGGTAGGAGGCAGTTTGCACTGGTAAGGGGCGCAGGGTACTGCGCAGCTTGTTTTCACAAATCATAGCGGCCGGCTCTGTTCCGCCTGGGTACGCTGTCCTCTTGCAGGATTTTCTTTTTTCATTTTGTTGCCTGCCTGGTGGGGTGATCTGCCTTGGTTATTGCCCCCTGTGTACTGCATACTCTTCTCTTTTCCGGTGGTACCCCCTGCTTGGTCCCTGTGAGTGTACACGTCCCGGGGGGATCAGTTCTTAGAAAGTTGTTGGTAGACTTGGGCGCCGGTTAGCAGTACCCTGTCTGGGCTTCCCCGAGCGTGAGTTCCGTTTCAGGACCCTGGGAATTCCCATGGGGCGCGTGGGTCTGATGGATGTGACCCTGGAGTCCACCCTTGCTTTATGCGAGTTCGAGGGTTGCTCTGTCCCCTTGTCTCAAGGTTACTCTCACTGTTTTTGCCTCTGTCTGCTGCCTGCTGGGTCGGTGGCACCTTCGACCCGGAGTCTTATGAGTTTTGTTGCTTGTTTGTGACTCGGTTACCCAGTCTTATGCTGACTATGCAGGTGCAGGCAGCACGAGCGTGACATGTTGGGTTCAGGTAGTTGCAGCGCCCTAGGTTGTTTGCTCCCTGGAAGCCCCAAGGCTGCCCCGTTATGGTTGTTGTGATGGGGCTTAGGGGGGTTGGTTGCTTCAATTTTGTTTCCGTTCGCGCCCCCTTGTCTTTCATTTGTTGTGGTTTAGTCTGGTCCCTTCCCTTCCTCTCTGCATCCGGATCTCCGCCGTCTGTGGGTTCGGGGTCGGGCGGGGTTTCGATGGTCTTGAGACACGGGCGGTCTCTGGGAATTTTCCCTTCTGGGGTAGCGACAGAGGCATTCAAGCCTGTTGCTCCAGCCGTGTCATATGGGTCTGCCAGTGAGCTCCCTTCCTTAGTACAGTAATTTTCTGGCTGCCCCGGCTGTTTCTTGTGAGGCTGTGGCTTTGGAGGGACGGCTCGGCCTGGGGTCCTGCCGTGGAGGTTCCCGAGGCTGGGGAGGGGACTGATTTGGGGGCGGGGCCTTGGGCTCCGTTGGACCCAACCGGGGTTTTTCTACCCTCTGAGCGGGGCTTGCGGTTACAGGGAATGGGGTTTTTCCTTTTCCCCCCGCGTACGATTTGTTGGGTGTCGGCCCCTCCTCGGGTTCGGTTCCTTGGTGCTTCGGGTCTGTCAGTTCTGTCCTGTCAGCGGGTACTCTTCTCCATTTCCTCATCCTTCTTCTCTGGGACATGAATTCTCCGTCATGTTGAGGTCATGTTCCCCTTGTATCAGGGTCCTGCATGACCTTTGGTCTCGGGTGCGACTGTGCCTTTATGGGCCTTCATGATTTTGTGCTTGCTTCTGTAGGATCTTGAAGGTTTGGGAAGGTCTTCGATACTTCCCGTATTATTGGAATGTCTGTCGTTTTCCGGTGAGGCTTACCTCCGGTCCTTTCTTGGACTCATTGGTCCTCTTCCATGCTTCTTCTTGGTTTACGGTATTATCTCATTCTTTTGTAATTATATTTTCTCTGTGTGTTCTGTCTCAGCATTGATAATATTCCTTAAATACTCCTAGTTGGCGCCCTCCCCGCCGGGCAGGTTGTGCGGTTCGGACCTCATGCGTTCTGCGCATGCTCCTTAGGAGTTTTTGTTTATGGACGGTGTACACAAGTATTGGTGTTCAGCGTCCTTTTTCTCTCGGGTGATCCTCATCTCTCGCTTCTCTTATCGCTTCAGTCCGAGCCCCGTAGATGCTGGGGGGTGTTCTGGATTAAAATATGTGGAGGACCCCTAGTTCTTTTCTCTGCATACGGGTGTGTGGCATCCCATCCGCCTCTACCCTACTCTTCTCCTGCACATGCGGCTCTGTCCTTATTCCACTAGCGATGCTCCCGGAATATTCTCGGCTACGATGTGTCGTGACATGATAGTGCCTACGCTCTGCAGGTGAGCTTATGCGGTCTGGCGTTTCTTTGGCCAGGTGCTGGTTCGTGGTTTTTGGATGAGTGTTGGGGATTGGTTGTGGCATTTTTTAGGCCCTTTGTGCGCTTCTTCCCATGACCTTCCTTGTCAGTCTGTGTTATTCGTTTCACAGTGGGGCACAGTCCCATCTTTCGAGATCTCTCTTTAGTCTTTCCGTGCCTGGGTCTTTTATTGCCTCATGACACTCATTCCTTGACCGTCATGCTGAGCCCTTCCATACACATTGGATTCTCTCTGTGTAGTGGGTTATGTCCATTTCATTCTCGATTGCTGCCTATCTTCTACGTTCCTCATATTGCTTCTACACTCTTGTCCCTAGCTGCTGGTGCTTGGACTGTCTTTCTGGTCTTTTTCTTGCATTTTTCCGTTTTTCCAAATTCTCTTCTACACATTGTTGTGTGTTTTCGTATGTGCTTCATGGCTCTACTAATGTTCGTGCTTGGTTGGGCTTTGTCCATGTTCAGTTCCCTGCTTTTGAACTGCCCCAGTAGCTCCGGGGAGCCAATGGGGCTCCCCCCAGAAAATCAGTGTTGAATGTAATGAGACACCATTTTCTGGGTGAGACCTGGAAGCTCCCCGGCAACCCTCCCTCCCTCCGGTCAGCAGTTTTTCGTGTGTTTTGATATCCAGCCTCAGAACTGGGGTCTTGGGTAGCCAGTGCGAGGGATCTGGGGCTCACCCTTTCCCCTCCCCTAATGGAGGGGGAAGCTGCGCAGACGGCGGCGCAGAGAAGTGACATCATGCTTGTTAGCTCGTTTTTATTGTGGGAGTTCTGTCCACTAGTTCGGCTCTCAGTAGCAATTTCTTAACCAGAATAGGGGGTGTGTTGCCTGACCCGGTTGATGGCAGACATAAAATGCTCCCAACCACAAGGGGGTTTCTATAGGCCATTGCTCCTCGTGCCTCTCTGAGAGGGGCCAGGTTCTGGCCCGTGGTCCTCAGTAGGCCTAAAGAACTCCATACACATGACTGATACCAAAGTCTGACATTAGCAATATCAGCCTGGATTGCTCCGGGGAGCCTCCAGGTCTCACCCAGAAAAAGGCGTTTCATTACATTCAACGCTGGGTTTTTTTCTTTCATTATTCCAGACTTGCCCCTTTTGCTTTGGGAGCCCTCCAAAAAAGTGTTTCATTATATTCTTCTCTTGAATTTGTTATCTTTTGTTGTGAATAGAGCTGGTGGGAGGCCTTGTATGTGCCTCCTTATCTTGAGGTTATCTTGAGATGATTTCGGGGCTTTAGTGTCCCCGTGGCCCGGTCCTCGACCAGGCCTCCACCCCCAGGAAGCAGCCCGTGACAGCTGACTAACTCCCAGGTACCTATTTACTGCTAGGTAACAGGGGCATTCAGGGTGAAAGAAACTTTGCCCATTTGTTTCTGCCTCGTGCGGGAATCGAACCCGCGCCACAGAATTACGAGTCCTGCGCGCTATCCACCAGGCTACGAGGCCGCCAAATAAAGCATAAAGCTCCTTGCATAAAGATGGGAAAGGTCATTGTAGTTGTATATAAATGTACATTAAGCATGGAAATTATGATAAGGATTGATAATTTTAAGTTGTTTTCTTTGTCTCATACAGGGTGAACCAGAGTGTTTACAAGGCTTGGTGTTCGTGCTTAGTGGAGTGTTTGAGAGTCTGGATCGAGAAGAAGCCTCGGAATTAATCAAGAAATACGGAGGCAAAGTTACTACCTCGCTGAGTCGCAACACAACCTACCTGTTGCTTGGCTCAGATGCTGGAGCCAGCAAACTTAAGAAAGTAAGTTTTATCTTTACACAAATATTCACAAGGAATTTATGCATGTTTAGAAAAGTTTGAGATTACAGTACAGCATTTGAAGATCAATAAAATTGCAGGTTGTACTCATTACAGCACCCTGTACTCATTACAGCCCCCTGTACTCATTATAGTACAGGGTGCTATATATATCAAATGATATATCAAATGAACAAATCCACAAGAACCTTGATGGGGGGTTTGAACCTATGCGTTGAGCATTCCCAGACGCGCCTTAGCCAGCTGTACCACAACATGGTAAAGTAATTGCTACCTGGAGTGCTACTGCCCTCACGAGGATCCCGAGGCTTCCACTGAAGCCTAACCGGGAAATTGCGTGAAACCCCAGTTAGGCTTCAGTGGAAGCCTCGGGATCCTCGTGAGGACAGTAGTACTCCAGGTTGCAATTATTTTACCATGTTGTGGTACAGTTGACTAGAGGTTATCTTGAGGTTATCTCGAGATGATTTCGGGGCTTTAGTGTCCCTGCGGCCCGGTCCTCGACCAGGCCTCCACCCCCAGGAAGCAGCCCGTGACAGCTGACTAACACCCAGGTACCTATTTTACTGCTAGGCAACAGGGGCATAGGGTGAAAGAAACTCTGCCCATTGTTTCTCACCGGTGCCCGGGATCAAACCCAAGACCACAGGATCACAAGTCCAGCGTGCTGTCCGCTCGACCAACCGGCAGTGCGTCTAGGGAACACTCGGCGCATAGGTTCGAACCCTCATGAAGACCCTTGTGGATTTGTTCATTTGATGTACCATATTACATTATTGGGATTTGTGTAACACTGATATTGTACTGACATTTTGTACAGTATGCTAGAGTGTGATAGTGGTTATTGTATTTTGATAGTGGTTATTGTATTTCATTTCACACTGTGATGTTTCTCTAGGCAGAGCAGTTAGGCACGAAACAACTGGATGAGGATGGCCTCCTGGAGTTGATACGTACCAGACCCGGCAAGGGACCCAAGCCAAGTCTTGATAAAGAAGGTACCTAAGTCATAAGGCACTCATTTTATTCAAATTAAACTGTTTAAATAAGGCATGATTAGATTATTAAAGTTACATGTTGTTAAGATTTTGGTAGGTAAACTTATTTGGGACTAATTTTTATTTATACACATAAGCACATAATTAACATGTATGCCACTCGTCTGTACAAGAGATAATAGCCATGGCGCAGGGCTCTTAAGCTGGATCTTGCATTTTTCAAAATAGAGCTCAGTAAGCACATGTACATATAGACACTGCTCATAAATTGATTTATTATCCATATAAGGTTAGAAGTGGTGTATGCAAGGAGGGGGGTGGGATGTCCACATCCTAAAGGTGTAAATTAGACTTTTTAGTTTGCTTCATTTTCAGCCCATTGGTACTCTACAGTCTTGAGACTTGAGCATTGTTTGGTGCTGCACATGCTCTCCCATTTGTGCACTTAGGAAGGATAAGAAACTTAGATGATTGTCATGCCCTTCAAGATGACCTTGACAAAATAAGTATATGGAGCACCACTTGGCAAATGGAATTTAATGTTAATAAATGCCATGTTATGGAATGTGGAATAGGAGAACATAGACCCCACACAACCTATATATTATGTGAGAAATCTTTAAAGAATTCTGATAAAGAAAGAGATCTAAGGGTGGTTCTAGATAGAAAACTATCACATGAGGACCACATAAAGAATATTGTGTGAGGAGCCTATGCTATGCTTTCTAACTTCAGAATTGCTTTTAAATACATGGATGGCGATATACTAAAGAAATTGTTCACAACTTTTGTTAGGCCAAAGCTAGAATATGCAGCAGTTGTGTGGTGCCCATATCTTAAGAAGCACATCAACAAACTGGAAAAGGTGCAAAGACATGCTACTAAGTGGCTCCCAGAACTGAAGGGCAAGAGCTACGAGGAAAGGTTAGAGGCATTAAATATGCCAAAACTAGAAGACAGAAGAAAAAGAGGTGATATGATTACTACATACAAAATAGAAACAGGAATTGATAAAATCGATAGGGAAGATTTCCTGAGACCTGGAACTTTAAGAACAAGAGGTCATAGATATAAACTAGCTAAACACAGATGCCGAAGAAATATAAGAAAATTCACTTTCGCAAACAGAGTGGTAGACGGTTGGAACAAGTCAAGTGAGAAGGTGGTGGAGGCCAAGACCGTCAGTAGTTTCAAAGCGTTATACTGTATGACAAAGAGTGCTGGGAAGACGGGACACCACGAGCGTAGCTCTCATCCTGTAACTACACTTAGGTAATTACTTGCTTTCCACCTTTTTTATGGTTGGCAGCCAGACTGTGCTGATGTCACTTGGTTTTCTTTGCCTTTTGACTTCTGTTTCTTTGACTTGGGCCCTACTTTTTGTTTAAACCATTTGGTATTGGCCTTTCGGTTTTCTTTACTGGTCCCCAGCCCTGTCCATTCCAGCTGCATGTCTGCCCTTGGCTCCAGCTTGTGCGGGCTCTGGTGGTGCCAAGGCTGTTCACTGCTGTGTTCACTTTTAAGAGGGGAAAGTACCCCAATCTGGCTCACAGACTGAGTGTTTGCTCCGGTGCTTTTGGACATTCCAGGACCAGTTTCGTTTTTGTGTATTTTTTCTCAAGGTTTCCTGAGGTTTATGGTTGGATGCTAAACTTTCTTGTCAAGAATTCACAGTTCATGGCTGGATTTTCATGGTTGTCCACATTTATGCCTCAGGCCCATATGTTGTGCATGGGTTCCTTAGGGAGTTTTCTCTCTTCCCATGGGTGTACACCCAAAGTTTCTGTCATGGGCCTCCCTCAGTGACTTTCTGGAACTAGCAGCCTGGATAGATCTACACATCAAATCACACTAGTCCTTAGCAAGTCATTAAAAACTTGAGGACTTGAGGTAAAAACCTGGTCCACCTAGAGATGTGCAGAGAGCAAGGGGATACTAAATCACCTAAAGCTAGTGGAAGAGCCACCAGAAAGTTAGAGCGCACCAAGACAAATAACTGCAACTCTGACAGTTAGGATCACAGTATAGTTAGGTCTTTACCACTGCTGGTTTCCCACTCCCACCACCAGGTAGTGACCCTGCCCCCTCGGGGTCTGCTTGAAGTCACCGGATCAGTGATGCACCTGCTGTAGACTCGTCCACTACTGCTCGTCGGGTAACCACCACCTGATGCTCCTAGTGTTGTCCAGATAAGTGTTGGCGATTCTTTGGGCTCTCCTACAGAGGTCTGTGTTTGTTCCTTTTTGTTTTAGTGTTTGCTTCACCTGTGTGTGTGTCCTTTTTCACACTCACTGTTTTGTGGACCTTGAGCCAGGTGTTTGCTTTGAGCTGCATGTGTTTAGGGTTGGCTTCCCGAGGCACTTGCAGGGGTTGAGCTCTGGCTCTTTGGATCCGCCTCTCAACTGTCAATCAACTGGTGTACAGATACCTGAGCCTACTGGGCTCTATCATATCTACATTTGAAACTGTGTATGGAGTCAGCCTCCTCCGCATCAGTTCCTAGTGTATTCCATTTATTAACTACTCTGAAGCTGCACATCAGGTGTGTAGGTGTGTACTCACCTAGTTGTGCTTGTGTGGGTTGAGCTCTTTGGTCCCGCCTCTCCACTGTCCCTCGGGACCTCCACCGAAGTCCAGCCTCGGTGTTTTCGGGTTTCTGTTCCTGGGGGACTGTCTCCTAATATGGGGCTCTGAAACAAAATATAGGGTACAAAACACAATCAGATCTGCTCATACAAAGGGAACAACATGTTAACGATCTGGGAATTATGATGTCTGATGACCTGATGTTTAGTGAACATAATTAAGTTAATACAGTATAATGGTCAGGAACATGATAAGATGAATTATGAGAACATTCAAATCCGGGGATCCCATAGGATGAATTATGAGGATCATGTCAGGGTGCCTGACAGCTGAGTGGACAGCGCTTCGGATTCGTAGTCCTGAGGTTCCCGGTTCGATCCCCGGTGGAGGTGGAGACAAATGGGCAAAAGGTTTCTCTCACCCTGATGCCACTGTTCATCTAGCAGTAAATAGGTACCTGGGAGTTACAGCTGCTACGGACTGCTTCTTGGGTGTGTGTAACCAAAAGGAGGCCTGGTCGAGGACCGGGCCGCGGGGACACTAAGCCCCGAAATCATCTCAAGATAACCTCAAGATAAGATCATGTCACGTCACAACATTTCAAACAACTGACTGCTGTAACCAAGACTATATTAAATAAACGTGATAAACCACTAAACTTTCCGAGTCTTAACATCCAAACTCTTGTATGTAAATAAACATTCAAATCTCTACCCCATAGAACACATCATTATATTGTCTCTACACCATAGTCCACATCATCATATTGTCTCTACATCATACTCCAGATCATCATATTGTCTGTGCACCATAGTCCACATCATTATATTGTCTGTACACCATAGTCCACATCATCATATTGTCTCTACATCATACTCCAGATCATCATATTGTCTCTACACCATAGTCCACATCATTATATTGTCTGTACATCATAGTCCAGATCATCATATTGTCTCTACACCATAGTCCACATCATTATATTGTCTCTACACCATAGTCCACATCATTATATTGTCTCTACATCATAGTCCACATCATTATATTGTCTCTACACCATAGTCCACATCATTATATTGTCTCTACACCATAGTCCACATCATTATATTGTCTCTACACCATAGTCCACATCATTATATTGTCTCTACACCATAGTCCACATCATTATATTGTCTCTACACCATAGTCCACATCATTATATTGTCTCTACACCATAGTCCACATCATTATATTGTCTCTACATCATAGTCCACATCATCATATTGTCTCTACACCATAGTCCAGATCATTATATTGTGTCTACACCATAGTCCACATCATTATTTCTTCACATATGCAAAGTATTTGATAAGTATTACCAGTCCGTATGTCAGGCTGCGAGCAGCTGCATTGAACAGCCTCATTGATCAGGCCTAGTCAGAGACGGGGCTGTGGCAACATTGATCCACGAAATGGGCTGCGGGGATATTGATCCTGGAAATCAACAACAGGTAGTCATGGAGTGATAGCCCACAAAATGAAATCAGTAGGAATAACAGGTAAAGTAGGGTGATGGATATTCAATTTCTCGTCAGACAAAGCAACAATCAATCAAACTACAGTCCAAGTACGGTGGAAAGCTCTGTACCTGAGGGCACAGTCCTTGCACCACAATTTTTATTTTTAGTCTCATATTAGATATAGACAGAAATGCAAATCACAGCTTTGTGTCATCTTTTGCAGATGACCAAAATGTATATGAAAATTACTTCTCCAGAAGACTTTGAAAACTATATGCTGATAATAAATGTTTTGAGTAGGTAGCAGAAAATAACAATGTTTAACAGTGATAAATTCTTGGCGCTTAAGTACAGAAAAAATGAAGACCTTAAGCGAAATACAGATTACAAGAGACAATTAGATCTTATCTTGAAGTTATCTTGAGATGATTTCGGGGCTTTTAGTGTACCCGTGGCCCGGTCCTCGGCCAGGCCTCCACCCCCCAGGAAGCAGCCCGTGACAGCTGACTAACACCCAGGTATCTATTTTACTGCTAGGTAACAGGGGCCATAGGGTGAAAGAAACTCTGCCCATTGTTTCTCGCCGGCGCCCGGGATCGAACCCAGGACCACAAGTCCAGCGTGCTGTCTGCTTGGCCGACCGGCTCCCTACCCTACCCACAATAATAAAACAACATGTAAAGTATTTGAGAATAATGTTATCTGACAACTTAATGTATAGGAGCATAACCTAGCAAATAGATCATTAGCTAGAAAAATGATAGGATGAATTATGAGAACCTTCAAATCCAGGGATCCTATCAAAATGCTCATTTTATTCAAATCACCTGGGCTGTCCTGCCTCAAGTACTGCTCGATACTCACCTCCACCTTCAGAGCAGAAGACATCACTGCAATAGATGAAATACAGTTCAGAGAACATATACAGCACAAATGGACATGATAAAGCACCTAAATTATTGGGTCTGTCTTGAAGCTCTCAGAATGTACTCTCTGGAAAGGAGACAAGAGAGAGGGGAATTACACAGTAAAATAACATACGGGGAGCAAACAGATTGGTAGAAAATGCAGAATAGAACCAGTGAAGAATAGAGGTGCCATAGGCACAATCAGAGAGCAATGAAGATCAGAGATCCATGACTGTTCAGTATTCTCCCAACAAATATAAGAAACATTGCAGGAACAAAAATGGACTTAAAAAAAAGGGGGGAACAGGTTCTGGGAAGGAATGCCAGACAAACTGGGTTGTGGATATGTAAGCCTGCGGGCCGCTCCAAATAACAGCCTGTTGGACCAAGCTCTTACAAGTCAAGACTGGTTTTGGGCTGGGCTTGCAACCCATCCTCCTAATAAAACATTGTATTTTGATGTATACTCTACCCAAGGCAAAATATTTTCATACAGTACTAGAAAATGGTAGCAGCTCACGAATTGACATACTCCAATTTTCTGTTTTGGATCCTCTGGTAGGTTAGGATAAGGGCATTTTAATATAATAATAATAATAATAATAATAATAATAATAATAATAATAATAATAATAATTTTCATTTAGGCAAAGGTACATACATAAAGAGATTTTACAAAGTTTGTTGGCTTTATAGATAAGAGCTAGTACATACAATGCCTAAAGCCACTATTACGCAAAGCGTTTCGGGCAGGAAAAAACACTACTGACTAAAGCTTAAAACTAATGGGTAAAAAGAAAAAAATGCGTTGAGTACAAATAAAAATAGAGGTAAAAGAGGGGGGAACATTGTTGAAAAAACAGCACAAATACAATTACAAATTATTACAGAAAATTACATTAAAACAGCGTTGATTTGTAAAACAAAAAAAACAAAACAAAAAACATACATGGGTTGACAATAGAGAGGTAAGGTAGGTTACAGGGAATTTATTAGGTATAGCTTCGTTTTTACCTTAAACTGGTTGAGAGAGGTACTGTCTTTAACATGGTTGGGAAGGTCATTCCACATCCTGGGCCCCTTGATTTGTAGAGCATTTCTGGTTTGATTAAGTCGTACTCTAGGAATATCAAAACTGTATTTATTTCTGGTGTGGTGCTCATGGGTTCTGTTACAACCTTCTATGAAGCTTTTGAGATCAGGATTGGCATTACAATTTAGCGTTTTGTATATGTATAGTACACATGAGAGAATGTGCAGTGACTTAATGTCTAACATATTCAGGGATTTGAATAGGGGAACCGAGTGATGTCTGGGGCCAGAATTGGATATTGTCCTAATAGCAGCTTTGTGTTGAGTAATTAGAGGACGTAAGTGATTTTGGGTAGTAGAGCCCCAAGCACAAATACCATAGTTGAGATATGGATAGATAAGGGAGTAATAGAGTCACCAGGGCAGGGCGTGGTACATAATATCTGATCTTAGAAAGAATGCCCACAGTTTTTGAAACTTTTTTTGATATGTTTAGAATGTGTCCCTGGAAATTCAGCTTGTGGTCAATGAGAATGCCAAGGAATTTGCCATCTAATTTGTTACAAATTTGGGTATTGTTTATTTTGAGATTTATTTGATTAGAGGATTTATTGCCAAACAGAATATAGAAAGTTTTGTCAATGTTAAGGGTGAGTTTGTTGGCAGTTAGCCACAGATGGACTTTATTTAGCTCAGTATTTACTGTGGCATTTAGAGCAAGGGGATCAGGACTGGAGTAAATGAAGGTTGTTGGAGTAAATGAAGGTCATTTGCTGGTTGTGTCGTCAGCAAATAGGATTGGTTTGAGGTGTTGGGAGGCATTTGGAAGGTCATTAATGTAGATGAGAAAGAGGAGAGGGCCAAGTATGCTGCCCTGGGGAACACCAATGTTGATGGGTAGGGTGGGAGAAATTGTATTATTCACAGAAACACATTATTATTCACAGAAATACAGCAGTTGGGAAACCTTCTGAGGATTGGGTGGGGCTTGGGGAATAGAACTCTAAGAATTCCTTGCAGGTACAGTCATATTGTCCCTGCACTACAATCCTCATCATCATATAATTTTGACTCCATAGCTTACATGAAAATAGTGTTTCTGAACCATAGTCCATGTTATAGATGTTTCTGAACCATAGTCGACGTCATAGATGTTTCTGAACCATAGTCGACGTCATAGATGTTTCTGAACCATAGTCGATGTCATAGATGTTTCTGAACCATAGTCGACGTCATAGATGTTTCTGCACCATAGTCCACGTCATAGATGTTTCTGAACCATAGTCCACGTCATAGATGTTTCTGAACCATAGTTGACGTCATAGATGTTTCTGCACCATAGTCCACGTCATAGATGTTTCTGAACCATAGTTGACGTCATAGATGTTTCTGCACCATAGTCCTGGGTTCTGGGTTTGGGATCCTGTGGTCCTGGGTTCGATCTCGGACGCCGGCGAGAAACAATGGGCAGAGTTTCTTTCACCCTATGCCTCTGTTACCTAGCAGTAAAATAGGTACCTGGGTGTTAGTCAGCTGTCACAGGCTGCTTCCTGGGGGTGGAGGCCTGGTCGAGGACCGGGCCTCGGGGACACTAAAAGCCCCGAAATCATCTCAAGATAGTCCACATCAATCATAATAGTGTTTCTGCACCATAGTCCACATCAATCATAATAGTGTTTCTGCACCATAGTCCACATCAATCATAATAGTGTTTCTGCACCATAGTCCACATCAATCATAATAGTGTTTCTGCACCATAGTCCACATCAATCATAATAGTGTTTCTGCACCATAGTCCACATCAATCATAATAGTGTTTCTGCACCATAGTCCACATCAATCATAATAGTGTTTCTGCACCATAGTCCACATCAATCATAATAGTGTTTCTGCACCATAGTCCATAACACAGTAGTGTTGCTGCACATAATGATGTCTACACTATAGTTCAATCGTGCTTATAATACAGTACCTGGATACTTTCTGGTGCCACAGGTAAGACTTCCAAGAAAGCGAAGTCCTTTGTGAAAGGTGAGAATGGAAGAGTACCACAAGAGGAAGAAGCCGTGCTGAGTTTTGAGAACTCTGCTGCTTCAGGCTCCCCTCTCCTCTCCACCACCACCACCAAAACTCCAAGTCCAAAAAAACGCTTCTCACACTCCGACAATTCTCAGGTAAGAATGGCTGAATTACTTGATGAAATGCCTCATGGTCTAAGTGTAGTTATGGGTCTGAGAGGTGAGCTTGTGGTGTCCTCTCTTCCTAGTATTTTTTGTCATACAGCTCCTCCTTTGTCCATGTGTTGCTTACTGGTGGACTGTAGGCATTGACAATTATCCATTCATCATTCAGGTTATAAATCTCCAGTGCCATAATGTCAACTTCTAGTGGATTATCAATTATTAATTCTCTTGTCTTTAGTTGTTCTTTCACCAGCACAGCAATTCCTCCACCTTTTCTAATTTTTCTGTCACATTTCCAAATTGAGTAGCTCCTCAGGAACACAATCCGATTTAAATTATTATCTTTGAGTTTCGTCTCTGTTAGTGCAACAATATCTGAGATGCGAAAGAATTGGAGCACTCTGGGGACTCGAACCAGCATCCTGGGGCTCCCCAGCCACATGCCTTAACCCACTGAACCACGATACACAAGCAATTTAACCTGGGAGTCTTCCGAATCCACTAAGATTCTTGAGGCATATCTTCTAGCTCCAGTATTTCTTTCTCACTCCATCTATGTTAGTATACAGTTGTTCTCACTCCATCTGTTAGTATATAGACTCTCTCACTCCATCTGTGTTAGTATACAGTCCTTCTCACTCCATCTGTGTTAGTATACAGTCCTTCTCACTCATCTGTGTTAGTATACAGTCCTTCTCACTCATCTGTGTTAGTATACAGTCCTTCTCACTCATCTGTGTTAGTATACAGTCCTTCTCACTCATCTGTGTTAGTATCTATGGTGTCTGTCATCTATGTCAGGGAGCCAGTCGGCCGAGCGGACAGCACGCTGGACTTGTGATCCTGTGGTCCCGGGTTCGATCCCGGGCGCCGGCGAGAAACAATGGGCAGAGTTTCTTTCACCCTATGCCCCTGTTACCTAGCAGTAAATAGGTACCTGGGTGTTAGTCAGCTGTCACGGGCTGCTTCCTGGGGGTGGAGGCCTAGTCGAGGACCGGGCCGCGGGGACACTAAAAAGCCCCGAAATCATCTCAAGATAACCTCAAGATAGTATACAGTGTATGTTAGTGTGTACACACTACACCAGCCTGTACACACTACACCAGCCTGTGCACACTACACCAGCCTGTATACACTACACCAGCCTGTACACACTACACCAGCCTGTACACACTTCACCAGCCTGTACACACTACACCAGCCTGTACACCAGCCTGTACTGGTTGAGTGCCAGGGTCATGTGACTTCAGACCAAAATATTGATCCATTAAAGACTGAGCGGATGGCAAGTATTCAGCAGTAGTAGTGAGCCTTACGGGCGGTCGTGCACTGCCCGAGACCGACTTGATTGTTTGACTCAAGAACTGGTAACTTCTCTCATATAGTTCTGCTTTGTTCTTACTTTTAGGTAAAGCTAGTTCTTTTACATTAATGTTGTTCTCTTACCATTTTACTGTGATATTTTCTTAATAATAATACTGGAGTGAACCGCCTAGTTTACAATAATTTGTTTTGTTGAGATGCCAGAAGCATTATCTATCCAATCACTGTTTACTCATTGTACATCCTGTGCTAATAGCACATCTTTTGTCATTGTCTCTCTTTGTAGAGTGAGATGTGCTTTCTCTACGATACCTTTGGTGACCACCTTCATGTAATCCAGCCACTGTATATGTTGCTTCGTTTAATTTGCCGACTTTTGTAATATTTATGAATGTAACAATGTTGTATTTACAGGACACTGGGAGTCCATCTTCCACCAGCTCTTCCCCTAAGACACAGTCCATCTCATCTCAAGAACTATCCAAACGACCGAGTGAAGTACTCATGTGGGTTGACAAGTATAAACCATCTTCAATAAAGAATATAATAGGACAGCAGGGAGATCGCTCTAATGTCAAAAAATTGCACATATGGTTGCAAAATTGGCAAAAGAACCAGCTGAGCGACAAAAAGCCACCCAGACCTAGTAAGTTTGTGGTAAATAGTTTTGATTAAAACAAAGTGTACTAAAAACACTTGGTAGAAACTCCCTACAATCCCAAGGAAACAAACAAACATCACACTTTACTGCCGCACCGATCGTCCGCGCAGCCCTCCCCCGTCCCGAGAGGGGGAGGGGGAGCCCCGGACCTACCACGCCGGCTGCTTAGCTTCAGCTCGTAAGCTAATGTCAACCAGGATAAACGCTTCTCTGGCCTCAGTTTCCTAGGCGGTGTTTGCCTTGTGTGGCGTTCACTACCGTGTGTTGTGTTGTGCGGTGGCCAGGTGTACCTCATCAGTGCCGGGGCTGCATGCGCTTAGGGGCTTCCTTCCCTAAGCGCCCTGTGAGTACTGCCCCTGCGTGACAGGGTTATCTTCCCTGGGGCATTCGGGAACCATTCCTGTAGAGGTTTTTGCTGCTCGGCATTTGCCTCGCCCTTGGGGCCAGCTGGGGCTTTAGGCCCTTGTTTGGCCCTGGGTAGGGACTGGTATTGTGCTGGTTAGGGCGTCAAGGCTGCCACCTAAGCGGCGGCTGGTTCCTGTTGCCTCTGCAGACGGTGTACTTTTGCGGGTTTTTTCTTTTGTTTTTATATTCATTTGCCTGGTGGGGGTCTGCCCAGTGTGGCTATAGTTCCACTGGTAGTGTTTGGTGGACCTCTGCTAGGCCCCGTGATTGTACACGTCGCAGGGGTTTTCAGTGCTATCCTCTTGTTATTTTTGGGTTTCTTAACCGGTTAGCAACACCTTACCCGAGCTTCCCATAGCAGTCAGCCTACGGGCCCTGGAAACCCCTGTCTGGGCTCGGGGGACCATTGAATGTATCTTCCGGGTTCCAACCCGTCTTGTACAGGATCGTTGGTTGCTGTGCCCTTGTCTCCGGGTGACAGTCGCCACTATTACCTCCGTCATGCTGCCTGTTGGGTCACTGACACCTTGACCCGGAGTCTTGCGAGAGATATTCTCTGCTTGTTCTCCAGTACTCTCCTGATGTTATTATACTGTTCAGAGTACAGGCGGCATCCGTGTTGCAAGCTAGGTTAGGTTGCTGCAACACGCTAGGTTGGTTTCCCACTCGGATGCCCCGGGACCGCCCCGTTTTGGTTAGGTGCTGTTCCCCCCTTTCCTTCCCTGTTCTCGGCTCCGGACCGTCTGTGGGTTTCGGGGTCGGGGTGGGGTTTAGTTGGGGCCGAGACTCGGGCGGTTTTCGGGGGCTGCCCCGTTCGGGTTGGGGACGGAGGTTTTCGAGCCTGTTCCTCCTGCCAAGGCTTCTGGGTCATACCAGCGGCCCTTTCTTGCTGCCTTACCCATGGACTCTTCCTTTTCTTTAAGGGTGGAGGGCTTGGAGGATGGCTCTGCCCCGGGGCCTCTCTTGCTGGTTCCCGGGGCTGTGGGGGATGCCTGCTAGCAGTTCTGGGGCGGTTTGCCCCAGCAAAGAAACTCCTGCCTGGGTTTTCTGCTTTTGGGCAGAGTTTTTCGCCCATCCAGTCTGCTTGCTTCCCACTTTTACTGGTGTGTTTTTGTATCTTTTGCGTCGGTCACAGCCCTCTGTTCTGTTGGCCATTTTATTCTGCCGGTTTCCCGGCGTAGCCACCAGGGCGGCGTTGCAGTTGGTTTACATGCGCCTGGGTGTGCGAGGGAGCTTCTTGGGTGAGTTTTTCACCTCTCTTCAGGGGTTTTATTCTCCTGTTGTCGTTTCTTTGCTTTTCTGGTGTTTTCTGCCCGAAAGACTTAGCATGGCAGACATAGAATGCTTCCAACCACACGGGGGTTTCTATAGGCCATTGCTCACCTTGTCTCTCTTAGGGGGGGCCAGGTTCTGGCCGTGGTCCCCGGTAGGCCCTAGAACTCCGTACACATGACTGATGCCAAAGTCTGACATTAGCATATTAGCCTGGATAAGCTCCGGGGAGCCTCCGGGACTCACCCATAAAATGGCGTTTCATTACATTCATTGCTGGTTTTTTCACAAATGATGGCCTCTGAAACGCTATCACCTGCTAACTGCCTGTTGTTTATCCAAATTAATAATAACTTTTCAACCTCCTCAAGTGTTTGTGTTCGTTTCTTGATTGTTGTTACACCTTTTGCCACTTTATCACTCATTATTTCCTGTTTCTTACCAATTATAGAGCATATCATTGACATACTTTTGCTATACAATCTAGCAAGTTCAACAGGCCGCATATCATTTTCATATTTATGAATGATCTCTTGTTTTAATTTTATGGTCATTCTTACAGTTGTTCTCTTAGGTTGAACTTTACCACTGACTTTCTTGGGACCCATGGCCTGTGTTATATGATAATTACTTTTATGGTTCGAAACTAAAAAAAGGCCCTAAAACAATGAAATTCTACACGAAGAATTGAAACACAGTCGTCACCTTGGCAGGACGCTGTAAACTGAGGCGGCGCCTCGCAGCGATGCCACGTGCTTGGTGGACCTGGACATGTATAAACGAATTTCGAGCACTGAGGCAAACAACGAGTACTGAATCAAATTTTTCGGAGAAATTGAGTATGAGTACCGAAAAATACGAGAAAAGGGCCATACGAGAACCAGGGTTCCACTATACATAGAAGATACTCGAAGGTCAGGTACCAAATCTGCACAGTAAAATAACAACATTTTGAAACGAAAGATACGGAAGGAAATGTAGAATAGAACCAGTGAAGAGTAGAGGTGCCATAGGCACAATCAGAGAGCACTGTCTGAACATCAGAGGTTCACACTTGTTCAACTCCCTCCCAGCAAGCATTATAAATATTGCTGGAACAAAGGTGTATGTATTCAAGAGGCTGTTAGATAAGTTCTTGCAAGAAGTGCCGGACCAACCAGGCTTTAGTGGATATGTGGGCATGCAGGCCACTCCAAGCAACAGCCTATTGGACCAAATTATCACAAGTTGAGTCTGGCCTCAGACTGGGCTCAGGGAGTAAAAGAACTCCCAGAACCCTCTCCAGGTATGCCTCTGATTACTGCTTCATTTTTCTGTCAGAAAATTTTTCATCCATGTTAGAAGCCTACCTGTCACTCCTCCAATATGTTCCAGTTTCCAGGACAACCTCTTATGTGTAACTCTGTCGAAAGCCTTTTTTAGGTGTAGATAGATGCAGTCAACCCAACCATCTCTTTCCTGTAAAATCTCTGTAGCTCGATCATAGAAACTGAGTAAATTCGTTACACAGGATCTTCTAGATCGAAAACCATACTGTCTGTCTGATATTATATCGTTTCTCTCCAGGTGTTCCACCCATTTATTTTAAATTTTTTTTCCAATATTTGACTATTATACTTGTCATGCACATGAGCCACTTTTACCCAAGTGAGGAAGGTACTGAATGTCAAATATCTCTTTCTCTTTCTTGGTAAATATCAAACAAATTTATTGCAATGTGTGTGTGTATTGGATATATATATGTATGTGTGTGTGTGTGTGTGATTAAATTGGACATGGCAAAGAAATTGATACACTGAGAACTATTTTTATTTTTTGAGATTTCATATCTATGCAGGCAAAATTATGAAATAATTTTACAATGCATTACTTTCTGGCTTCAGGTCCATGGGCGAAGGATGACAACGGAGCATTCTTTAAGGCTGCATTACTCTCTGGACCTCCAGGTGTTGGTAAGTTATAACTCAATACTGGTAACTGACCTACAGTGTGGGTGTTCCTACATCTATTGCCAAAAAATAATTTCCGTGTTGTACACCTGTTGTATTCCTTGCTGCTTGTGTCATGGGGGGGGGGGGTTGCCTTCCAAACTGCAATGCTGTGATTGGCTCACTTGCCTGTTGAGAACTCTATTGCATTCCCAAACTATAATTTAAACATGCCTGAATTATATTATAATACATACAGTATGGATAATAATTTTGTTTAGGCTGTTTCTAGGATTTGCTAGAGTAATAATAATAATAATAATAATAATAATTAGGAACAGTACATACATAGTTGCAGAGTTACAGTACAAACATTCTGTTAGATTTCAAGATAGAAGTTGTACATACAATACCTTAAGCCACCAGTACGCACAGCGTTTCGGGCAAAACACTCTGCGTATCTGCGTTCTCTAGAGTATTTATTGTAGAATCCCTATCAATCCAATATGGTAGCAGGTGGCTAGGATTTGCTTTTGATGATAATATGATGAGGATGATGATGCTACAATGTGTGTGATGTTGGAATCAGTGATTAGTAGCTTGAGAATGGTAGGAGAACCAATATTTATCATTAAGCAGTGCCCTATACAGGATGAGGAGGGAAGGGGCCATATGCCCTGTTGCTGTGCTGACATTTTTCGTGCTAGGCGTAACTCACGGGAAGGGATGCATTTTCTGGGGGGGGGGTGCTACGAGCCAGAACCTGGGCCCCATTAGAGGGGCAAAGGGAGCAATGGCTTATGGAAACCCCTATATGTTTGGGAGCATTTCATGTCTGCTATCGACTGGGGTTAGGCCCCTAGAAAGGTAGGTATAGCTAAACAAGCCCCCACCTGGTAAGAAATTGCAACCGAAGACCAAACAAAGAGACAGCCTCCGCGCAACCCCCCCCCCCCCCCCCAAAAAAAAAATAAGGAAACAAGCAAAAAAGCAAATGTCATTCACTGCCACAGTACTGCTCATCCGCACAGCCCTCCCCTCCCCTCCCCGGGAGGGGGGGGGAGCCCTGGACCCCTCATGCCGGCTACTCGCACCTCAGTTCATAGGCTGATGCGCTCTGGGGCAGTCATCAACTCTGGCTTTGATTTCTTGGTGGAATTTGTGCCTATGCTCTGTTTTCTGCTCTTTGTGGCACGGTGGCCAGGAGTAACATCAGTGTACTGGGGCTGCATGCACTTAGGGCTGCCTTTTCTAAGCACCCTGTAAGTACTACCCTTGGGTTCTAGGGTTCTCTTCCCTAGAGCCTTTGGGACTCCACGTTCATAAATGTTCTTGCTTCTCAGCATTTGCCCCCCGCCCCTTGGGGTCAGCTGGGGTTTCTTGGCTTTTGTTTGGCCTTGGGTAGAAAGTGATGTAGTTTCTGGTTGGGGTGCAAGGTGCTGCGTTGCATGCTTACCTATGTGGTGGCCGGGTTCCTGTTCCTTCTTGTCTGAACTGCAGGGGCTCTCTTTGGTCTTGGCTCTTTGGGGCTTGTCACTTCGAGTGACTCGTCTGCTGGATTTTCAGGGTTTGGTTCTCTGTGCGGTTCATATCAAGGGAGTATCCAAACGTCCTGGCGGACGGCGTGTCTCAGTTCATTCCCCTGTCCACAGAATGGACGATCGACGCCGACTCCTTCAGTTGGCTCTGTTGGACGTACAGACTCCTGGAGGTGGACCTCTTCACTTCTCCGAGGAGCCAACGGGGCTTCCCCAGAAAACCAGCCTAGAATGTACCGAAATGCCATTTTCGGGTTGAAAGGCTGGAGGCTCCAGTATCCCTCCCTCCCTCCAGTCGGCGGTGTTTTCGCATGTTTTTGACATCCAGCCTAAAAACTGGCGGTTGGATTGCCGGCATAGGGGGTCTGGGGCTCCTCTTCCCCCTCCCGGGGAGTGGATTGGTGGAGGGGAGAGGGGGGTTGTGCAGACAGCAGTGCGGCGACGTGATGTGATGGTCATGCTAGTTTGCTAATTTTCGTTTGGGAAGTTCAGTCCACTTGTTTGACTTTCGGTAGCAATAGTTTCACCAGAATAGGGGTTTGTTTTGGGACTCCTACCTTTCTGGGTATCAGACCAGGTTGATGGCAGACATAGAATGCTCCCAACCGCATGAGGGTTTCTACATGCCATTGCTCCTTGCGCTTCTCTGAGGGGGCCAGGTTCTGGCTCGTGGTCTCCGGTAGCCAAGAACTCCAAACACATTGACTGATGCCAGAAAGTTATACATATCCATTCAGCCTGGATAGCTCTGGGGAGCCTCCGGGTCTCACCCAGAAAGTGACGTTTTATTACATTCAACACTGGTTTTTTTATATCCCCGGCTTCCGGTTGTTGGGTTGGGAGCTTCGTGCTCTCCTCCAGTGCCAGGAGTTTTGTTCCTTTGGTCCTGATGGTCGTTTTGTTCATTTGCAGCCCTCTCCTCCTTTTCTGGCGAAGAATGAGATGGCAGGCTTGTAGAGTGCTCCTTTGGTTGTGGAAGCTTGGTTCGGCTTGGGGTAGATCATGTGCTTTGTCCAGTGGCGGCTTTACTCCGCTACCTTTGAACCACAGGTTCTGTTTTGGTGGACTCATTGTAGGTTGATACAGTTTCTCTGGTTCCATGTTCCAGACCTCGTGTTTCTCAGGTTGTCCGCAGTGTCATTAAAGCTAGCCAGCCTGCGGTCTACCCTCGTGCTCATGATGTTCATAAGTATGCAGCCTTGTCAGCTGTTTTTTGTAATATGTCTTGGGCAGATGTTTGGGCACGAGGGTTTTGGAGGTCTAACAAGGTCTTGGCCTCTTGGTATCTTGAGACGTTCCGGGTCCTTTGCAGCGCTGTGTTGCATTAACGCGTCTGTTGCATCCTTCAGTCTCCTTCCCCCCCTCTCCCCATCCTGGGGGGGAAGATGGTGCGACCAAGCGGCTTGTCGGTTTGATGACAATTTGCTTTTTGTCTTGTTTTTCTTGGGATCTGTTCGGTCTTAGCGTTACAATTTTCTTTCAGTTGGGGTCTGTGTTGGGGTGCCTGCCTCTCTGCGTGCCTATCCCCAATCGATGACAGACATGAATGTACTCTCAATGAATGTAGTTTTCATAGGTCATTGCTCCCTGCACCTCTCTGAGGTAGCCAGGTTCTGGCTCATGGTTCCCGGTTGGCAAAACTCGATGTGACTGAATCCCCAGACTTAATATACCTAGTATCAGCTCCAGAGAGCCTCTGGGGCTCACCCAGAAAACGGCATTTCATTACATTCAACACTATTTATTTTGAGTTTCATTGCTATTTGAAGCCCTGAAAATTATTATTTGAGATTAGATTAGATGTACCATTGGCAGAAATATTCAAAGGATGTGAAAATCATAATTAATTAATGTAATTTCTTGTTATTTCAGGAAAAACTACAAGTGCACACTTGGTGTGTAAGGAACTGGGTTTTGATGTTGTGGAACTGAATGCTTCAGATGCACGTTCTAAGAGAACTCTGGATAATATTGTGTCAGAATTGCTGTCTAACAAGAGCCTTGCAGGATATGCATCAAGTAAGTCAATATTGCCTATCTTCTAGTAGTTTTCTGTGGGGAGCCCCTTTGGCTCCCTGGAGCTATCGGGCTAATGTGTGATATATTAGACCGGGGCATTAGTCTATGGAGCTCTACCTACCGGGGGACCATGAGCCAGTCTGGCCACCTCGGAGAGGTTGCAGGAAGCAATGGCCCTGGAAAACACCACTGTAGTTGGGGTGTTCCTTACGTGCCATTGACCAGGGTTAGGCACTCAGAAAGGTAGGCATAACAAGCCACACATGGTAAGAAAGGTACAAAGAAAAATTGAACAAAAAGGCAGAACTCCCTCCAGTCCCAAGGAAACAAGCAAACGTCACACTCCATTGCCGCGCTGCTCGTCCGTGCATCCGTCCCCAGCCCAGCCTTCCCTGGCCGGCTCAGCCTTGGTTTCAGGTGCTGCTTATTCGGTGTCCGAACCTGGAGTCTTCCTGCAGCTCTACCTCTTTCAACAGATCGAGCCGGTCTGTTACGTAACTAGTTTGATCTTCTCAAGTGTTCGTGTCTGGTCTTTCTGACATGAGTCTATCACCACTTGTATGGTGATCAGGTGGCTTCGTTGATGGTTTTCCACCTGCGTGCTTCGTCTCGGCGGCAGTATGAAGTTTCCTGGCTGTCCTTCCATTATTTCTTGTCCCTCCGGAGGTTTTCTTATGTTTTGGATTGGGGTGTCTTGTCCTTTTGTGGTTGTTTCAGGACCGTCTTCTTATGCCGATACGTTGTATTGTATCGTGCAGCGCTGCTTCAGCTTGCGTTCAGGGTGGATGTTACTTCTGCTCCATTCCACAAGCTGTCTCATGCGTTGTTTCATCTCCGGACTGCTCATGCGCCGCCTGAGCTGTCTTTGTCATTGGACCGGGTGCTCTCTTGTCTCTCTCCTCTCGGTTTCTTATGGCCCCTTCAGTGCAGGATTGTTTTGCGAATGCTCTTTACCTGTTGGCATTAACCTATGGGGGGCATGGTTGGGAAGCTTCATGCTCTTCTCCGGTGCAGAGGTTTCTGCGCTTTTGGTCCTGGTGGTAGGTTTGTTCGTTTGCAGTTGTCTCCTTTTCTGGCGAAGAATGAGACTGCTCTTTTCCGGAGGGTTCCTTGGGTTGTTGATGCTTGGTTGGTTTGGCCGGGGGTGTGTCATGTGTTGTGTTCGGTTGCGGCTCTTTACCGTTACCTGTGCACCACGTGCACAGGTAACAAAGTGCATCTCAGTGGCCGAGATGCACTTTGAATTAGCCCGGTTTCCCTTCTTGCTTGTTCCAGGGTTTGGGTCTCCCAGGTCATCCACAGGATTATTCGGGCCAGCCAGCCTGCGGTCTATCCTCGTGCCTATGACGTTCGTAAGTTTGCTGCATTGGCTGCTGTCTTTGGTAACGTGTCTTGGGCTGACATTCGGGCACAGGGTTTTTGGAGGTCTACCAGGGATCTGGCCACTCGCTACCTAGTCAGTGTTCCTGGCCCTAGTTGGGCATGTGTCGCATTGGGTCGGTGGTTGCAGCCAGTTGTCTTGACTTCGAGTTGAGGTGCGAGTGGCAAGTCCCTGTTGTTGTATCTTTGGTTAAGTATCTCCAGGGAGCCAAAGGGGCTTTCCCCCCAGAAAACCAGCATTGAATGTAATGAAACGCCATTTTGTGGGTGAGACCCGGAGGCTCCCCGGCAACCCTTCCTCCCTCCGGTCGGCGGTTTTTCACAGGTTTTGACATCCAGCCTCAGAACTGAAGGTGTGGATAGCCACCATGGGAAGGTCTGGGGCTCCCCCTTCCCCTCCCTGGGAGGGGGGAGCTGCGCAGTCATCGACGTGGTGACGTCATGCTCGTTTTCATTTGGGGAGTTCTGCCACAGTTCGGCTTTCATTAGCAATAATTTAACCAGAATTGGGGTTTGTTTTGGGATGCTTACCTTTCTGGGTGCCTGACCTGGTCGATGGCAGACATAGAATGCTTCCAACCATTTGGGAGTTTCTATAGGCCATTTCTCCTCGTACATCTCTGAGGGGGGGGGGTCAAGTTCTGACTCGTGGTCCCCGGTAGGCCTAGAACTCCATTCGCTTGATTGATGCCAGGGTCTAATACATTCATATCAGCCCAGATAGCTCCGGGAACCCTCCGGGTATCACCAAGAAACTGACGTTTCATTACATTCTATGCTGGTTTTTTTTTACACGGGTGGGTAAAAACCCACCTGTGCATGGGTGGGACATAATTTCTGACTCCTGCTAGTAGGCTGAGAGCTTTCCCATCCTATAGCTTGTGGTAAGCCTTCCCATTACTTTCCCCAAATGGTTAAGAACCAGGTGCCCAGTTACTGCTGGGTTAAAAGTGGTGAACAATTAATGATGCCTAGTCAATCATTCCCTGCCAGGATATGAAGCCAGACCAAATCTCTCATGAAGTGTGGGCGAGTGTGTCACCCTCCAAGCACTGTTGTTAAAATGAATAAATAAGAAAATGTTAATTCTTAAATTATGTCTTTCAAAATCCTATCATAAATATTTGTTATTTTTTAGGTCAAGGTGTGAGAGGCCCCAGCTCTAAACATGTCTTGGTTATGGACGAGGTGGATGGTATGTCTGGCAACGAGGACAGAGGAGGCGTTCAAGAACTCATCGCTCTCATGAAGAAATCAAAAGTGCCCATCATAGCAATGTGTAATGACCGAAATCATCCAAAAATAAGATCGTTAGCTAATTATTGCTTTGATCTAAGGTTTTACAAACCAAGGATTGAGCAGATTAGGGTAAGATGCCACGACAGAAGTTCTTACCTATCAATGACTGGAGGAGTCAAATTTAGCTCTCTATGCTCCGCCTCCTAATCTCCTATACTGTACCTTGCATGCATCTTAAGTCTCTTGACGTTCAAGATCTTGTCTCATTTTTTCCTGAAGTTGTAGATGGAAGTGGCTTTGACAACTTTCAGTGCATTCAAGTTAGGACTCTTTCGTTCAGGGGTATGAGAATCTCCTTACATTTCTATGGCTCATTTGCATATCCAGCTTCCACCAATGTCCTCTTCACTTACCTCCTTTCAATTTAAACAGGCTGTCTTTCACCTTGTATTTTCCCTCCGCATCATGTATACAATATAGTGATCATATCATTTTTGTTCTTTCTCTCGAAGGTAGTATAGTGAGGTTCAGTTCCCTTAACCTGTACTCATAACTAAGCCCTCTTAATTCTGGTATTTGTCTTGCTAGAAACCTCTGTACTCACATGTTTCCTTTTCTGCTTCACAAGCTGCATATTCCAGGGACAGTTTGCCCGTTAAAATGGTCATGTAACCCTTGCACAGTTCAGGGGTTAAAATGGTCATGTAACCCTTGCACAGTTCAGGGGTTAAAATGGTCATGTAACCCTTGCACAGTTCAAGGGTTAAAATGGTCATGTAACCCTTGCACAGTTCAAGGGTTAAAATGGTCATGTAACCCTTGCACAGTTCAAGGGTTAAAATGGTCATGTAACCCTTGCACAGTTCAAGGGTTAAAATGGTCATGTAACCCTTGCACAGTTCAAGGGTTAAAATGGTCATGTAACCCTTGCACAGTTCAAGGGTTAAAATGGTCATGTAACCCTTGCACAGTTCAAGGGTTAAAATGGTCATGTAACCCTTGCACAGTTCAAGGGTTAAAATGGTCATGTAACCCTTGCACAGTTCAAGGGTTAAAATGGTCATGTAACCCTTGCACAGTTCAAGGGTTAAAATGGTCATGTAACCCTTGCACAGTTCAAGGGTTAAAATGGTCATGTAACCCTTGCACAGTTCAAGGGTTAAAATGGTCATGTAACCCTTGCACAGTTCAAGGGTTAAAATGGTCATGTAACCCTTGCACAGTTCAAGGGTTAAAATGGTCATGAAACCCTTGCACAGTTTAGGGGTTAACACTTTCGTGTTTCTGGCGTGCACGCCCCAGGCTACCCCAAGGTGGCCAGAGCATTTCGCGTGAGCTCGCAGCCACACTAAAATGTGTATACTCTTTTTCAGTTTTCTCACCTCTGTTCTCGTGCTACGTCATTCATTTTGGTATCAATTTGCTCACAATAGAATTCGCTAGAGGGATATATGCATTCAACATATAAGGTCAAAAAGCCCGGTGTGCCACCCACAGCAAACGCGAAAATTAGCCAAGTGTTACCCGTGAGTAAACACACACCAGCACTCCAACGCCTGCACTAAAATGTGTATATACTCTCCAGTTTTCTCATGTCAATTTTCATGTTACATTGTTCATTTTAGTATCAAATTGATCACAAGGAAATTCTCTAAAGGGTATATGCATTTAAGGTCAAAACCGAACGTGCCACCCGCAGCAAACCCAAAAATCGGCCGAGCATTACCCTTGAGCACCCAACCACACTGAAATGTTCATTCTCTTTTCGGTTTTCTCACTTCAGTTTTCGTGTTACGTCGTTCATTTTGGTATCAAATGGTTTACAATAGAATCCTCTAAATGGATATATGCATATAAGGTAAAATAAACAGGCGCGCTACCCACAGGAAACCAGAAAATCGGCCCAGCGTTACCTGTGAGCGAGCACCCATCCACACACATAGTGGCAGCAGGGAAGACCCCCTCAATTATAGACCTGTATCATTGACAAGTGTAATAGTGAAAGTATTGGAAAAACTAATCAAAACTAAATGGGTAGAACACCTAGAGAGAAATGATATAATATCAGACAGACAGTATGGTTTTCGATCTGGAAGATCCTGTGTATCGAATTTACTCAGTTTCTATGATCGAGCCACAGAGATATTACAGGAAAGAGATGGTTGGGTTGACTGCATCTATCTGGACCTAAAAAAGGCTTTCGACAGAGTTCCACATTAGAGGTTGTTCTGGAAACTGGAAAATATTGGAGGGGTGACAGGTAAGCTTCTATCATGGATGAAAAATTTTCTGACTGATAGAAAAATGAGGGCAGTAATCAGAGGCAATGTATCGGAATGGAGAAATGTCACAAGTGGAGTACCACAGGGTTCAGTTCTTGCACCAGTGATGTTTATTGTGTACATAAATGATCTACCAGTTGGTATACAGAATTATATGAACATGTTTGCTGATGATGCTAAGATAATAGGAAGGATAAGAAATTTAGATGACTGTCATGCCCTTCAAGAAGACCTGGACAAAATAAGTATATGGAGCACCACTTGGCAAATGGAATTTAATGTTAATAAATGTCATGTTATGGAATGTGGAATAGGAGAACATAGACCCCACACAACCTATATATTATGTGAGAAATCTTTAAAGAATTCTGATAAAGAAAGAGATCTAGGAGTGGTTCTAGATAGAAAACTATCACCTGAGGACCACATAAAGAATATTGTGCAAGGAGCCTATGCTATGCTTTCTAACTTCAGAATTGCATTTAAATACATGGATGGCGATATACTAAAGAAATTGTTCATGACTTTTGTTAGGCCAAAGCTAGAATATGCAGCTGTTGTGTGGTGCCCATATCTTAAGAAGCACATCAACAAACTGGAAAAGGTGCAAAGACATGCTACGAAGTGGCTCCCAGAACTGAAGGGCAAGAGCTACGAGGAGAGGTTAGAAGCATTAAATATGCCAAAACTAGAAGACAGAAGAAAAAGAGGTGATATGATCACTACGTACAAAATAGTAACAGGAATTGATAAAATCGACAGGGAAGGATTCCTGAGACCTGGCACTTCAAGAACAAGAGGTCATAGATTTAAACTAGCTAAACACAGATGCCGAAGAAATATAAGAAAATTCACCTTCGCAAATAGAGTGGTAGACGGTTGGAACAAGTTAAGTGAGAAGGTGGTGGAGGCCAAGACCGTCAGTAGTTTCAAAGCGTTATATGACAAAGAGTGCTGGGAAGACGGGACACCACGAGCGTAGCTCTCATCCTGTAACTACACTTAGGTAATTACACTTAGATAATTACACTTAGGTAATTACACCCCCAACACCCACTCTCTAATGTGTATACACTTTATTTTCCCCATCAACATTGTCAGTCCCAAATATCTGGCAAGCTCTTTTACAACTCACTTCATCTCACTCATTGTTTGTGTTGTTAGAAACATTTGACAAGTTTTGTGATGCATACAGGTTTGTTTCATATACTTTATATTTCAGCCAATCTCACCTAATAAATAAGTGTAAAAATCCCAGAGGAGTGCTAGGTACAGATACAGTCAAGCCCGGTGTTGCTGTAAAACTGTCTATAAATGGTGCAGTGTTGTCAGTAGACCAGGCTTCACCAAGCGTGGGGTACGAGTTCTAATAGCAGGGCTGCATGGATGACGGTATCAACAACACCACTCCCCTCAATTTCAGTTTCATCCTCACCTGCTGTTTCAGTTTCAATCACATCACTATCTACATCACTGTCACTTTTGGCACTTTCAAGATCAGAAAATTCGTCAACTGAAGCCTGGAATTTTATTGGTGTGAGTTTCACTTTGCTGTACTCTTGGCAAACACTACTTGCCTTCTCTCTCAGACGTGTTTCTTTCCCTGCTTTCGTCTTGGAATGGCTCTGTTCTTGATCACTATCCATCTTGGAGTAAATGTAGAATGTATAAAGTCAGTAGCAAATATAGTCGAGGAAAAATAGTCAGAACAGGTACACGTGTTGGACGCGAGGGGAGGCCTCGAGCCTGGCCTCGGGCCGGGCTTGGGGAGTAGAAGAACTCCCAGAACCCCATCAAGCAGGAGGCCGCAACAGTTGCGAGAGGAGACACGATAACAATGGGCCTACCGCGTGGATGGCAGTGCCATGATGCCACATGGGCCATCATAGAAAATGGGAAGACGTTGGCACACATTTTAAGACACGTCCTATAATGATCAGGAAAAAAAATTGAATTTTAACAAATATTTTAATTATGGAGGCAAAATGCTTGACAACCATAGTTATTTATGGACACAATATCCGTTACCGATGGCCGAAAGTGTTAAACAGCTGTACAACATTGTAGATTAAATTTAAGTTTTTGGCTTAAATTGAATAACATTTAGCTTACAATTTGAATGGTGGTAAATATTGGTGAAACAAAGTGTAGTTTTCCATTAGACAGACCTTGGCAAAACATTCATCACAAAGTTAGTATGATGAGAAGACAATTGAAGGACAATTAGTATAAATTATTCATACTGTAAAGTGATAAGATATAGAAAGGTTATAAGTCAGAGAAGTAGATCATAGCCTGCTTCTAACATGCACAAGTTTTGAATAACATACCTTGGCTACCTTAACATACCCTAATGTTATCAAGACATTGTTATGCATAGCATGAATGTGCATGGTCGGTCGGCCGAGCGGACAGCACACTGGACTTGTGATCCTGTGGTCCTGGGTTCGATCCCGAGCGCCAGCGAGACACATTGGGCAGAGTTTCTTTCACCCTATGCCCCTGTTACCTAGCAGTAAAATAGGTACCTGGGAGTTAGTCAGCTGTCACGGGCTGCTTCCTGGGGGTGGAGGCCTGGTCGAGGACCGGGCCGCGGGGACACTAAAGACCCAAAATCATCTCAAGATAACCTCAAGAATGTGAAGGTTATTGAGGAGTGACTCAGTAATGATTACTGTACTATAATTCTTTATTTTAACAAGAACATTCATCCACTCCATCACTGTTATCATTTCTTAAATATGAAATCTTGCTTTACAAATTATATATAATCCTTAACTCCCCTTGCTGTGCAATTTGTATGTACTGTACACAATTTGAGTAAATGGCGCTGAACTGCGCACATCATATATATACAATTGATGGTGCCGCGCATGATTTAAATGTCCCGCGACTACACGGGGTTCGTATCAGCTTCCTCTGTTATTGTCTGGACTCACCATACCAACTTAGTGGTTCGTTATGGTGAACAAAACATAAAGATACTTCTATAAAACCTGTGTATATAGTGTAATAACAGCAAAACTATTTGTTTATGGTTTTATGAACATAATAATTGAATCACTAATATGCACACCATAATTTTGAGTACAGCGATGGGTCACACATTTTATCATATAAATATATCGCACTACACACTATTGAATAATATTACTGCAAAAAACTAAGAAAGAAATCAGACATTCAAATAATTAGGTAATGATATCTTTGTGGCAACTCCCACCTGACAGCTGGGGGGAGCAGACCGCCTCCAACACTTACTCTGTCAACGCCTCAATTTTGCCATACTTCCTCGCCTTATTGCGGCCAAAATATGTCAACTATAATCCCTCCCCCCCCCATCCCATCATGCCGTGGTCAGGGAACACAAATGAATACTTTTATAAGACTTAAAATTATAAATTTTAAATTTTTTTTTTCATGTGCATAGCGGTGTCTAAAACTATTAATAGCAGTTTATTAATATTAATTAATAACAGTTTAACAGCTATTAATAACAGTAATAAGTAATAATAACTAATTAATAAGCAGTAATAATATTAATAGCAGTAATAACAGGTATTAATAACAGTTTAACCCCCGTGCTGAGCAGCACGAGGGTTAAACTGAATAGTGAATCCAAATTTGAATGTGTTAAAATACAAATGTGCTTGAATTGTTTACAGGGACCAATGATGTCCATCTGCTTCCGTGAAGGCATCAAGATAAAACCCGATGCTCTGGATCAAATCATTGTTGGAGCAAATCAGGATGTTCGGCAGATTCTGCACCACTTGTCCATGTGGTCTGTTAATGCACAAACTTTACAAGTTGACGACATGAAGAAAGAAGCAGAACGGGCCAAAAAAGACTTTAAAATGGTAAGTTCTTTTAGTGTTATTATGATTTGAGTTTGTCTTCTTAGATATCTGGGCCACTTTGGTTACCATCATGTTCTGAGTATTGTTATTATTGTCCAGCTGTTATACCAGTGAGGTTAAATATGGTTATGTATAATACATCAATATAGGCATAATGTGCTTAACCAGGACCCATTAAACAATTCTGCTATCATTTTGTAATTTCTAACTAGGGGAAGAGGTTATAGTAAACAAGGGGCTTGTGATTGTCGTCAAATGGCAAATTGGTCTTTACTGCCAGTGGTTGAATCCATTCCTGTAAGACATTCGCAGACAGAATAGCAACAAAGAAGTGGGTTGTAAGTTCCATTCAGCTGTGTCAAAAACTTGTTTACATGTAGAATAAATGTACATATTACAATGTAGCCTTGTATAGAGTACTCATAGTTTTAGTTAATTAAGTTGAACATATGGGTCCTCTCCTCCAAGCCATTGTGTCAACAAACTATGTTTGTGTTGTTGGCAGTAACACTGGGCCTGCCTGGATCACCTCCAGTCCAAACACCAATAAATCAAAGATTTTGTAACTTGTAGCATGACATTGGGTAGGGTACCCTTACCTTACCCTCAAGGTAAGGTAAGGGTAGCATCACAGGGCAGTACCTGGGAGGCCAGAATAAACTGTAATGTGACTTCAACGGTTTCACTTCCTGTACTTCTCACACCGCCCTGTTCACATTCCTGGTGTGCCATATCTCAGTCTGTTGGCATCACAGGGCAGTACCTGGGAGGCCAGAATAAACTGTAATGTGACTTCAACGGTTTCACTTCCTGTACTTCTCACACCGCCCTGTTCACATTCCTGGTGTGCCATATCTCAGTCTGTTGGCCCAGGATACATTTCTTGGCATCCTTCATATCATCAAACCATATCCTGTATCTAGCTATTTTGATATTTACATATACAAATATTTCTATCTCCATGTGTCTGTCTTGCAGGGTCCGTGGGATGTGTGCAAGGCTGTATTTTCAGAGTCTGGACACAAGAATATGAGTATTCATGATAAATCTGGCTTGTTTTTTCATGATTACTCTATTGCACCTCTGTTTGTTCAAGAGAATTATCCCAAAGCTGTTCCTCACATTGCTAAGTAAGTTACACCTTGTGTCACTTGTGTTAAGAAACAGTGGGAACTTTCTCTAGTGATCCACAGTGTATGGGGGAAGCCAATTCATGTGTTGGGCCAATTTTGTTTGAGTCATAAGACCCTGGCAACCACTGTAGTGCATATTCAGGCTTGATACTTAACTGGAAAGCAAAATTAGGCAAGTACAAACCTATCCTAACCAACCTACTTTCAACATTGAAATCAAAATTAAAAATCTAAAATTGCTATGGAATTCTTGTTTTGTAAGCTGCTTGTCACAGGGCAACAATTAGGAGACAGTTTAATGTAAAAATTATAAATATTGTATATAACAATTATTTTGCCAAGCACATTTAACCGAGTGCAAAATTTGCATGCCAAAAAAAGCGGATCTGTACAAAAATAAAAAATAAAAAGCATTGAATGTAATGCCAAATTCTAGGTGAGCCCCGTTAGCTCCCTAAAGCTACATTGCTCATATGGTGCCAAACTATTACGTGCCATCACTCGTGGAGTTCATTTAGGCTTACTGGGGACTTTGAGCCAGAACTAAACCCCCTCTAGTAGGGAGCATTGGCATGTATGATAAAATTTCTATGAATATATTCATGTCTGCCACCCACCAGGGAAGGCACCCAGAAAGTCAGCGAAACAAAAGAGTTCACTGCTGGTTAGAAACGAGACCGCAGCCTCAAAACAGCCAAAAGAGCTTCGCCGACAGTGTAAACAAACAATCGAAAATCAATGAAACTTGTGATAGCTCATTCATCCCATCATCCCCACACTTTTTGGGGAAGGAGGGAGGCAGCCAGAGGTCAGCCAGCTGCTCCACCCTCAGTTCTAGGATGATGAAAACACCACCGATGCAAAACAATTTGTAATGTACAAGTCAACACCCACCAGACAACACCCACCAGACAACACCCACCAGACAACACCCACCAGACAACACCCACCAGACAACACCCACCAGACAACACTCACCAGACAACACCCACCAGACAACACCCACCAGACAACACCCACCAGACAACACCCACCAGACAACACCCACCAGACAACACCCACCAGTCAACACCCACCAGACAACACCCACCAGACAACACCCACCAGACAACACTCACCAGACAACACCCACCAGACAACACCCACCAGACAACACCCACCAGACAACACCCACCAGACAACACCCGCCAGACAACACCCGCCAGACAACACCCGCCAGACAACACCCGCCAGACAACACCCGCCAGACAACACCCGCCAGACAACACCCACCAGACAACACCCGCCAGACAACACCCGCCAGACAACACCCGCCAGACAACACCCACCAGACAACACTCACCAGACAACACTCACCAGACAACACCCACCAGACAACACCCACCAGACAACACCCACCGGTCCACAGCTTTAACACCATCATTGAACAGAAGTATTCAGTAAAAATGTCTTTGGGAAAATCGAGCACAGAATGCCACACAATGGTAGATCACCAGCAGAGCGCTCAATGTCAACTCTGCCCAGCAGTAACAGTAAATGTGCCAACATGACTAATACTGCAAGGAAAAATGGTCTTAGAAACTACTCTGTGTACTGGCTCTGCAAAAGGATAATATTACCTTCTTGAAGATGATTGCAATTCTGGATAAAATTCCTGTGTAGAACATAGAATCGCTAATAAATGCCTGCATAGAAATTTCAAATGTCTTCAAACAAATTGTCCATGACATCCAGGTACAATCAGATGACGTACAGAGCGCAGTTTCGGCGGCACCACAGCAGAGCGCGATGTCAGGGGCATCACCACAGCAGAGCGCAGTGTTGGGGCGGCCCCACAGCAGGGATTGGTGTCGGGGGCAGTGCCACAGCTCAGCGTGGTGTCGGTGGCGGCGCCACAGCAGAGCGTGATGGCAGCACCACAGCAGAGCGCAGTGTCGGTGGCGGCACCACAGTAGAGGGCGGTGTGGGTGGCGGCACCACAGCGGTGGTGGTGGGCGTTTTCTTCGTTTGCAGCTGTCTCTTTCTTCTCTGGCAAAGAATGAGTCTGCAGCTTTCTGAAGGGGTCCTTGGGTTGTTGATGCTTGGTTGGTTTGACCAGGGGCGCATCATCTTTTGTGTTCAGTTGCGGCTCTTCGCCGTTATTTGCGCGCCACAGCCTCTGTGGTAGAGGACGCGCTTTGGGTGGACCCGGTTTCCTTTCTTCCCTGTTCCAAGGTGCGGGTCTCCTAGGACGTCCGCAGGATTATTCTGTCCAGCCAGTCTGCAGTCTATGCCCATGCCCACGACGTTCATAAGTTTGCAGTTTTGGCTGCTGTTTATGGTAATATGTCCTGGGCTGACATTCAGGCACTGGGCTTTTAGGCTTCTCGGGCGTGTATAGCCTTGGGTCGCAGGTTGTAGCCAGTTGTCTCGACTTTGAGTTGAGGAGCGAGTGACGGCCGCCTCCTGGGTAAGTCCCTCTTCTTCTTTATCTTTGGTTAAGTAGCTCCGGCGAGCCGAAGGGGCTCTCCACAGAAAACCAGCATTGAATGTAATGAAACACCATTTTCTGAGTGAGACCCGGAGGCTCCCCAGCATCTCTCCCTCCCTCTGGTCGGCATTTTTTTCAGGTTTTTGATACTCAGCCTCTGCACTGAGCAGAGTAGTCAGCATGGAGGTCTAGGACCCCCCGTCATCCTCCTGGGGAGGGAGGGTTGTGCGGCGGTTGTGGTGACATCATACTTGTTTTCTTGTTTTTGATTGGGGGAGTTCTGCTTGCTAGTTTGGCTTACAGTTTGCAATTTTTGACCAGTAGTAGTTTGTTTTGTTATTCCTACCTTTCTGGGTGCCTGACCTGGTAGATGGCAGACAAAGACTGCTTCCAATTACACGAGGGTGTCTTTAGACCATTGCTCCTCATGCCTCTCTTTAGGGGGACAGGTTCTGGCTCTGGTCCCCGGTAGGCCTAGAACTCCTTCGATTGACCAATGCCACGGTCTAATATATTCACATCAGCCCGATATAGCTCCAGGGAGCCTCCGGGTCTCACCCAGAAAATAGCGTTTCATTACATTCAACGCTAGAGTTTTGTATTTATTGTATACAGTAAGATAAAGTTGTTACGACATTGGCATTAATAAATATGGGGTGTGATCTCTCCTGATAGAGGCAACCGGCGCATCACTTTGGAGCAGCTTGCCAAGACAGCTGGTAGTCTGGCAGATGGAGACCTTATAGAGAAAGCTATTAGATCTGTCAGTGCATGGTCTCTTCTTCCTACACAGGTAAGGCAAGACAAGTCACTTGCACAAAAGTTGATTTAGAACTCGTCCAACACAAGTCAAATATTCCCTCATTGTGATGAATTTTAAATCTGGTAGGTAGGTGCCATCCATCAATGTGTTGTTGGTAAATAAATAAATAAATATAAATATATATATATATATATATATATATAATAATCTATCTATCAGATTGTAACAAATAATACTGAAAAAACCACTTGTGTGTGTCAGTAATTCTTTACGTGTGGCAGCAAAGACGAACAAGAGAAAACGTGCTTAAACTGTTGTGACAAGTTCACAATTGGTAAAGCAAAACATCTAGGCAAGTTAATAGCAGTGATTTGTGGAGTGATGCACCAAAAGCAAATGCCTCACACTTGTGTATAAGTTGGAGTGTTCATATTTCCTTGCTTGTAGTGTTAGCTTCATCACCATTACTTTCCTTCAGCATTCCCTCTGCCATCGCCTTCACTTCAAATACAACCACTTCCTTGCTCATTAAATTTTTCTGCTTATTACAGGATTATTATACTGTACTATCTTGTTAATTTTGTGAGATATGCCGGTATGGGGAGGACTTGCTCAGGTGCCCTGGTGAGAATAATGTGTGCTTGGTGTTTCCATCACTTGCGCCTTACATGCTTGAATGTTGTGCTCTTGTATGGAGGAGGGAGACGGACTTGCTCAGGTGCCCTGGTGAGAATAATGTGTGCTAGGTGTTTCCATCACTTGCGCCTTACATGCTGGAATGTTGTGCTCTTGTATGGAGGAGGGAGACGGACTTGCTCAGGTGCCCTGGTGAGAATAATGTGTGCTAGGTGTTTCCATCACTTGCGCCTTACATGCTTGAATGTTGTGCTCTTGTATGGAGGAGGGAGTCGGACTTGCTCAGGTGCCCTGGTGATGATAATGTGTGCTTGGTGTTTCCATCACTTGCGCCTTACATGCTTGAATGTTGTGCTCTTGTATGGAGGAGGGAGACGGACTTGCTCAGGTGCCCTGGTGAGAATAATGTGTGCTAGGTGTTTCCATCACTTGCGCCTTACATGCTGGAATGTTGTGCTCTTGTATGGAGGAGGGAGACGGACTTGCTCAGGTGCCCTGGTGAGAATAATGTGTGCTAGGTGTTTCCATCACTTGCGCCTTACATGCTTGAATGTTGTGCTCTTGTATGGAGGAGGGAGACGGACTTGCTCAGGTGCCCTGGTGAGAATAATGTGTGCTAGGTGTTTCCATCACTTGCGCCTTACATGCTGGAATGTTGTGCTCTTGTATGGAGGAGGGAGACGGACTTGCTCAGGTGCCCTGGTGAGAATAATGTGTGCTAGGTGTTTCCATCACTTGCGCCTTACATGCTTGAATGTTGTGCTCTTGTATGGAGGAGGGAGACGGACTTGCTCAGGTGCCCTGGTGAGAATAATGTGTGCTAGGTGTTTCCATCACTTGCGCCTTACATGCTTGAATGTTGTGCTCTTGTATGGAGGAGGGAGACGGACTTGCTCAGGTGCCCTGGTGAGAATAATGTGTGCTAGGTGTTTCCATCACTTGGGCCTTACATGCTTGAATGTTGTGCTCTTGTATGGAGGAGGGAGACGGACTTGCTCAGGTGCCCTGGTGAGAATAATGTGTGCTTGGTGTTTCCATCACTTGCGCCTTACATGCTGGAATACTGTGCTCTTGTATGGAGGAGGGAGACGGCTTAGGGCTGATATTATCGCAACCCAAAAGATCCTGAGATGAATAGAAAGTGGATATAGACTCATTTTCTAGATGAGGGATAAAGGAGTGAACGGGCTGAGATAGACGTTGGAAACACAAATGATCCACAAATGTAATAAAATATTGCTGTGCATTAAAGTTGTTAAATAAGTATATTAAGGTTTAGGCAAAAATGTTGAAAGCAGCTTCCATTCATATGTTGAAGGGATTGTACTACATACTACTATTGGAAGGGTGTAACTGTGTCCAATTACACTGCCTGTAAACACAACTATGGCAACATATATCTTGAGGTTATCTTGAGATGATTTCGGGGCTTTAGTGTCCCCGCGGCCCGGTCCTCGACCAGGCCTCCACCCCCAGGAAGCAGCCCGTGACAGCTGACTAACACCCAGGTACCTATTTACTGCTAGGTAACAGGGGCATTCAGGGGTGAAAGAAACTTTTGCCCATTTGTTTCTGCCTCGTGCGGGAATCGAACCCGCGCCACAGAATTACGAGTCCTGCGCGCTATCCACCAGGCTACGAGGCCCCTCATCTTGAGGTTATCTTGAGATGATTTCGGGGCTTTAGTGTCCCCGCGGCCCCATATGTGGACAACAAACTTTTTCACTTCCCCAGGCCATGTTCAGCAGTGTGTTTCCTGGAGAATATATGTCCGGACACCTGGCATCACAGATTGAATTCCCACGCTGGCTCGGCAACAATAGTCGTCGAAACAAATTTGATAGATTAATGCAAGAACTTCAAATGCATACAAGACTCAGGTATGTCCTATTGTATCTCAAAGAGCTTTAAAGACAGAACTATTTCAGTGTGTTATATTTTTAAGATGTTAACTTACTTACATTATTGATACCTTTCATGGTATAATTTTGGGCAAGAGAACAGAGTGAGTATGGGCACTATTGTGTTTACAGTGGAGTGTTAGAATGTTGTTGTCTCTTTATAGTGATGTGTCAGAATGTTGTTGATTGTTTACAGTGATGTGTCAGAATGTTGTGTGTTAACAGTGATGTGTTAGAATGTTGATGATGTGTCAGAATGTTGTTGTGTGTTTACAGTGATGTGTCAGAATGTTGTTGTGTGTTTACAGTGATGTGTCAGAATGTTATGTGTTTACAGTGATATGTCAGAATGTTGTTGTGTGTTTACAGTGATATGTCAGAATGTTGTTGTGTGTTTACAGTGTTGTGTCAGAATGTTGTTATGTGTTTACAGTGGTGTCAGAATGTTATGTGTTTACAGTGGTGTCAGAATGTTGTTGTGTGTTTACAGTGATGTGTCAGAATGTTGTGTGTTTACAGTAATGTGTCGGAATGTTGTGTGTTTACAGTGGTGTCAGAGTGTTGTGTTTACAGTAGTGTTAGAATGTTGTGTTTACAATAGTGTCAGAATATTATTGTGTGTTTACAGTGATGTCAGAATGTTGTGTGTTTACAGTGGCCTCAGGCTGAGCTTGGGGAGTAGAAGAACTCCTGAAACACACTTTAAGTATGCATTAGGTATCATAAAAAGAAAGTAGATTTCTTACCATAGGATCTTCGTGGTCGAAAACCATACTGTCTGTAATGTTATGATTTCTCTCTGTTATTCTATCCATTTGGTTTTAATTATTTTGATCTAGTAATTACCTAAGTGTAATTACCTAAGTGTAGTTACAGGATGAGAGCTACGCTCGTGGTGTCCCGTCTTCCCAGCACTCTTTGTCATATAACGCTTTGAAACTACTGACGGTTTTGGCCTCCACCACCTTCTCACCTAACTTGTTCCAACCGTCTACCACTCTGTTTACAAAGGTGAATTTTCTTATATTTCTCCAGCAGCTTTGTTTCGTTAGTTTAAATCTATGACCTCTTGTTCTTGACGTTCCAGGTCTCAGGAAATCTTCCCTATCAATTTTATCGATTCCTGTTTTTATTTTGAACGTAGTGATCATATCACCTTTTTTTCTTCTATCTTCTAGTTTTTGCATATTTAATGCCTCTAACCTCTCCTCATAGCTCTTGTCCTTCAGTTCTGGGAGCGACTTAGTGGCATGTCTTTGCACCTTTTCCAGTTTGTTGATGTGCTTCTTAAGATATGGGCACCACACAACCACTGCATATTCTAGCTTTGGCATAACAAAAGTCATGAACAATTTCTTTAGTATATCGTCATTCATGTATTTAAAAGCAATTCTGAGGTTAGAAAGTTTAGCATAGGCTCCTCACACAGTGTTCTTAATGTGGTCTTCAGGTGACAGTTTTCTATTTAGAACCACCCCTAGATCGCTTTCTTTGTCAGAATTCTTTAAAGATTTCTCACATAATTTATAAGTTGTGTGGGGTCTATGTTCTCCTATTCCACTTTCCATAACATGGCATTTATTCACATTAAATTCCATTTGCCAAGTGGTGCTCCATATACTTTTTTGTCCAGGTCTTCTTGAAGGGCATGACAATCATATAAGTTTCTTATCTTCCCTATTATCTTAGCATCATCAGCAATAGTGCTTTGACTACCATGCTTGTTAATGATATGGATCTATAATTTAGAGGATCTTCTCTGGTTCTAGATTTGGAACTACGTTTACCTTTTTCCCTATATCTGCTAAGGTTCCGCTGCACAAGGGTGTCTGGAAATAAGTAGATTGCTCAACTCAGTTGCACATTATCATATTACCTCAGAACCCAAGGTGAAACTCCCCATCTAGTCAAACGGCTTTATTTTCTGGGGGGGAGCCCCGTCGGCTCCCCGGAGCTATCCAGGCTGAATGGATATGTATAACTTTCTGGCATCAGTCAAAGTGCTAGGAGTTCTTGCCTACCGGGGACCACGAGCCAGAACCTGGTCCCTCAGAGAGGCACGAGGAGCAATGGCCTATAGAAACCCCTTTGTGATTGGGATCATTCTATATCTGCCATCGACCGGGACAGGCACCCAGAAAGTTAGGCGCCCCAAAACAAACCCCTATTCTGGTGAAAAAATTGCTACCGAAAGTCGAACAAGTGGACTGAACTCCCCAAATGAAAACTAGCAACTAGCATGACATCATCACATCGCCGCACTGTCGTCTGCACAAACCCCATTTCTCCGAGAGGAGGAAGGGGCAGCCCCAGACCCTCGCCCTGGTGATCCAACCGGCAGTTCTTGGCTGATGTGATTACTGGCTGGGTGCGTCTAGCTCCAGTTTTGTTCTGTTTTGTACTGTGCCTTATAGCATAGTCTGTCTCGATAGTGGGGTGTGTGAACCAGGAGTAATATTCTGCGGTACTCGGGCTGCATTCGCCTAGAGTTACCTTCCTTAGATGCCCAATAAGTACTGCCCTTGGGGCAACCTTCCACAAGTCACCTTGGGGTCTACCTCTGCTGTGCTCTTTACTGCTCGGTATTTGGCTGCCCTTGGAGTCGACTCTGGTCTCGTTGCCCTTCTTTGTCTCTGGGTAGGGGTAGTTCTCGTCACTGGTAGGGTGCGGGGTGCTGCACAGCTAGTTATCACCTATTCTAGCAGCCGGGTTTGTTCCACCTGGGTACGTTGTCCTCTTGTGGGGCTTTTCTTTTGTTTTTGTTTTTCTGCCAGGTGGGGAAAGTCTGCTTTTGGTTGCCCCCTGTTTCCTTAGGTCCCTCTTCTATATTTGTGTTGTAGTGGTGCCCCCTGCTAGTCCCCCGTGAGTGGACACATCCTGGGGTTCAGCTTTAAAAGTTTGCTTGGTAGTTTTGGGCACCGGTTCGCAGTACCCTGCCTGGGCTTTCCTTAGCGTGTTACCAAAGCTAGGGGGGCCCCTGGGAAACTCTGCGGGGGCTCCGTGGTCTGATGGATGTGACCTTCGAGTCGCCTCTCACTTTGTGCAAGGTTGATGGTTGTTCTGTCCTCTTGTCTCAGGTTGACAGTCACCAGTTGTGCCTCCGCCGTTCTGCCTGTCGGGTCGGTGTTTCTTTGACCCGGTGTCATGCGATGTTTGTTATTTGTATATGCTTCAGTTCACCCTGGCTATTGTACATGATATGCGGGTGCAGGTGGCAGAGGTGTTGCTGCAACATGATTGGTTTGTTGCTTCCCCGGATGGCTCGAGAATGCCCTGTTTTGGTTTTTGGGACCTAGACTTGGGAGTGGGAGTCGCTTCGCCTTCCTCCCTCCTTTCCCTTTTTTGTAGGTCCGGGTCATCCCCCACCCTGGCTTCTGGCCAGGATGGGGGGCGACCCACCCAGTGGGTTCGGGGGCGGGGGTGGGGTCTCGTTGGTGTTGAGAGACTGGCGGTTTCAGGGGTGTCCCCTTCTGGGGTGGCGGCAAGGGCATTCGAGCTTGTTCCCCCCTGCAGATGCGTAAAGATCTGACCAGTGGGCCTTGTGAGGGTTTTGGGGGAACGGGTACTCAGAGTAAGGTTCCCGGGGCGGGGGGTGGTTGCCTTGGGAGCCTTAGGCCCCTTAGGTCCCTGCCTGAGTTTTTATACCCGTGGGGCAGGGCTTTGGTTGCAAGATGAGGGGTTTTCTTCGCCTCCCTCCTTGTAAGACTTGGATTGGCATCGACCCATCCTCGCGTTTGGTTCTGTGATCCCGTGGGTTCCTTGGTCCCATCCTTCCCGAGGTTTTCGGCGTCCCGTCTCGTGTGGTGTGGGAGGCCCTTGCAGCTTACCTCCTGCGCAGCCCGGCTTATGTTTTCGGGGTGGATCCGCATTCCTTCATGTGTGGATCTTCATGTCCGTACTGGGTTCACTATGAAGTTCTGGAGTCGGCCTGGTTGGCAGACTGCCCGCTCTTCTCGTTGGAGGCTCGGCACATGTTCTGTCGGTCCCGTGCCCTTGTGTGGGGGAGGCTGAGACGGCATTGCGGGTTTGCAGTTTTTGCTTCTCCCCTCACGTGTTGGCTGTTGGTGCTGGCTTCTTCGGAATCCGCTTGGGCCCTGGCTCTTAAGTTGTCTTCACCTTTTTGTCCATTGCTGTTTGGCGGACTGTGGTTGTGCAGTATCTGCAGGCAGCTTCGGCTAGTTGCTGTCCTATGTCGAGCTTGTTAGTCCTCCGGGGGCCTCGTGGAGAAGGCCCTCCCAGAAGGGTCGTGCAGGAAGGACTCGGGGTTCTTCTCGTCGTGCTAGGCCAGTGTTGCCAGATTCGGAGCAGGTGCAGCCTTCAGTTCCATCTTTTTCTGGTCAGCGTGGGGTTCATCCTGTGCGCTGCTTAGGTTCTTGTGAGCTGTATTGGCCCTTTTGCGATTCATCCCATTGATGTGGTATTGGGGGAGGGGGAACTTGCTCTGTTTGCTCACGCCTGATCCACAAATCCACGATTTGTGGGCCTTTCGGATCATTTCGTGCGGCCTGCAGTGGCTTTGGGTGGCTCCTCCTTCGGGAGGTTCGGGGCTGATGGGGCAGGCTTCTTCTTCGCTTTGTCAAGTCGTCTCTCAGGTGGGTTCCCGCCGGTTTCTGGCCCCGAAACAGGACTGCGCACACCTTCGGTTCATTCTGGACTTGTCCCGTCTGAAACCGTGGGGTTTATTGCCCCTCCTTTTGGAGGACTACACTGTCCTAGGTTTGTCTTCTATTGGAGCCGAGTGCTTGGATGTGTGTCTGGACCTCGAGGACGCATATTGGCACGTCCCGATTCCTCAGAGGTTCAAGGACTGGCTCAGTTTTGTTGTGGGGCGCCAGGGTTGCTGCTTTCATTGCCTTCTATTCGGCCTGAATCTGGTGTCTTGCATTTTCACACGCCTTATGTGGGTCATGGTGGCCCGCCAGCGTCTGTTAGGTGTTCAGGTTCTGGCCTCCCTCGATGATTGGCTGGTTTGAACTCCCAGCCTTTCCGTGTGTCTGCTCGCCAGGATTTTGCTTCTTTCCCAGCTAGCCGGGTTTGGGTTCCTGGTGAACTGGCGGAGGTCCCATCTAGTTCCCTCTCGGGTTCGGTTTTGGCTGGGACTTGTGTGGGATGCTTAGGCTGCTTTCTTGTCTCTTCCTCCGGCGGCTCTGCTTCGCCTACGTTCCCGCCTGCGTCTGTTCCTGAGGGGCTCCCAGATCACGCGGCGGTTGCTCGAGGGTTTGTGCAGGAGCCAGGGTCGGTGGGGTCCATCCTTCCGTCAAGCTCACAGTATGGCACAGGAGTTTACGACGGTGTGGCATTCGCTTCAGAAGATTTATGTCGCTCAAGGAGCAACGATCCAGCTCCATTCAGAGTGCTCCCCGGTGGTTCATTGCCTGAACTGTGGGGTTCCATGATGTCCTTGGCTCTTTGGGGCTGGTCACTTCAGGTGACTCGTTTGCTGTTTTCTCGGGGTTTGGCTCTCCTGGCGGTTCACGTTCGGAGAGAGTCCAATGTCCAGGAGGATGGCCTGTTCTGGTTCATTCCCCCGTCCATGGAATGGATGGTCGATGCCGATTCGTTTATTTGGCTCTGCCAAACGTTCGGGCCTCCGGAAGTGGATCTCTTCGCATCGGCGTGGTTGCGGCGTCTCCCGGTATACATGCCGCCCTTCCCTGACTGCGAGTGCGTCAAGGTTGACGCCTTCAGGCAGAACTGGGCGAGGTGTGGTTACCTGTACCTCTTCCCCCTGGTTCTGCTATTGCTCTGGGTCCTGACTCGCTTAGGGACTTACCAGGGGTGAATTGCCCTTCTGGCTCCTTGGTGGCCGGCCCAGCCTCGTTTCAGGTGCTGCTTGCTTGGTGTCCGAACCTGAGGGTCTCCCTGTGGCTCCGCCTCTTTCTGCAGATCGGTCCAGCCCGTTATGACGCTGGTTCCTTCTTCTCCTTGAGTCTTTTCTTCTGGAGTTTCTGACTCGAGTCTTATCATCACTTGTTTGGTGCCCAGGTGGCTTTGTGGTTGGTCTCCCACCTGCATGCTTCGTCTCGGCGGCAGTATGAGGTTGCTGGTGGTCTTTCTGGTTTTTCCTATCACTGTGTAGGTGTACTTCGGTCTCTGATAGGGTTGTTTTGTACTTCCTTTCATGATTGTTCCAGGGCTTTCGTCTTAGGTCGAATACTGTCGTCTCGTATCGTTCGGAGCTTGCGGAGCCGCTCCAGCTTGCGTTCGGTATTGATGTTCCTTCTGTTCCATTCCACGAGTTGTCTTGTGTGTTGTTTCATCTCCGGCCTGCTCGTGCGCCTCCGGTGCAGTCCTGGTCGTTGGCCCCGGGTGCTCTTCTCTCTTCTCAATTTTGTTGTAGCCTCTTCAATTCAGGTTTGTTTTTCCTGGTCTCTTTTTCCTGTGGGTGTTGGCATCTGGGGGTTGGGTCGAGGAGCTCCAGGCTCTCCTTCAGTGCAGGAGTTTACCTGCTTGTTGTGGTTCTGGTGGTTGGTTGTTCATTTACAGCAGTCTCCCTTTATCTGGCTGGGTTTGGTCTGCTGCTTTCCGGAGAAGTCCTTGGGTTCTTGATGCTTGGTTGGTCGGGCTGGGGGTGCATCATGTGTTCTGTTTGGTTGCTGCTCTGCTGTTCTCTACGCATCTTGGCCTCTGTGGCTTTAGGGGCGCTTTGGTTTGCCCGGGTCCCCTTCCTTCCCTGGTCCGTGGTTCGGGTTTCCCGGGTCGTCTGCAGGGTTCTTCGGTTTTGCCAGATGTCTTGTTTTTGAGTTAGGGCACCTTGAGGTGGTTACCTTGAGGTGATTTCGGCACGCAACGACCCCGCGGCCCGGTCATCGACCAGGCCTCCTCATTGCTGGACTGGTCAACCAGGCTGTTGGACGCGGCTGCTCGCAGCCAGACGTATGAGTCACAGCCTGGTTGATCAGGCACATGGCGTCCGCCTCCCGAGTCCTTCCCTCTTTTCCTTATCTCTGGTGAGAGCTCCAGGAAGTCGACAGGGCTCCCCCCAGAAACCCAGCATTGAAAGTAATGAAATTTCATTTTCGGGGGTGATACCTGGAGGCTTCCCCGCCACCCTTCCTCCCTCCGGTCGTCAGTGTTTTCGCATGTTTTTGACATCCAGCCTAAGAACTGCCAGTTGGATCGCAGGCACGAGGCTCTGGGGCTCCCCCTTGCGCGGACGGCGGAGCGGCAACATGATGGTCATGCTAGTTGCTAGTTTGTATTTGGGGAGTTCTGTCCACTCGTTTAGCTTTCGGTAGCAATTTTTTTCACCAGAATAGGGGTTTGTTTTGGGACGCCTACCTTTCTAGACGACAGACCCGATCGATGGCAGACATAGAATGGGTGGATGGGACATAGAATGCTCCCAACCACACGGGTGTTTCTATAGGTCATTGCTCCTCGTGCCTCTCTGAGGGGGCCAGGTTCTGGCTTGTGGTCTCCGGTAGGCAAGAACTCCATGCACTATGATGCCAGAAAGCTAATAGTTACATATCAGCCTGGATAGCTGCGGGGAGCCTCCGGGTCTCACCCAGAAAATGGTGTTTCATCACGTTCAACTCTGGTTTTTTAATATTGCCATGATCTGGAAACATATTTTAACAGCACAGTGATAAAAAAATCATTTTCACAATATATTTTTTTGTGCTCCAGCTGGTTGTTGTGTAAGTCTTGTGTACCAGCTGGTTGTTGTGTAAGTCTTGTATACCAGCTGGTTGTTGTGTAAGTCTTGTGTACCAGCTGGTTGTTGTGTAAGTCTTTGTACCAGCTGGTTGTTGTTGTAAGTCTTGTGTACCAGCTGGTTGTTGTGTAAGTCTTTGTACCAGCTGGTTGTTGTTGTAAGTCATGTGTACCAGCTGGTTGTTGTGTAAGTCTTGTGTACCAGCTGGTTGTTGTGTAAGTCTTGTGTACCAGCTGGTTGTTGTGTAAGTCATGTGTACCAGCTGGTTGTTGTGTAAGTCTTGTGTACCAGCTGGTTGTTGTGTAAGTCTTGTGTACCAGCTGGTTGTTGTGTAAGTCATGTGTACCAGCTGGTTGTTGTGTAAGTCTTGTGTACCAGCTGGTTGTTGTGTAAGTCTTGTGTACCAGCTGGTTGTTGTGTAAGTCTTGTGTACCAGCTGGTTGTTGTGTAAGTCTTGTGTACCAGCTGGTTGTTGTGTAAGTCTTGTGTACCAGCTGGTTGTTGAGTAAGTCTTGTGTACCAGCTGGTTGTTGAGTAAGTCTTGTGTACCAGCTGGTTGTTGTGTAAGTCATGTGTACCAGCTGGTTGTTGTGTAAGTCTTGTGTACCAGCTGGTTGTTGTGTAAGTCATGTGTACCAGCTGGTTGTTGTGTAAGTCTTGTGTACCAGCTGGTTGTTGTGTAAGTCTTGTGTACCAGCTGGTTGTTGAGTAAGTCTTGTGTACCAGCTGGTTGTCATGAATATATAGTGTGCAGTACAGGGGTTAAGGATTAAAACATGGTTAATTTATCAAATTTATTAATTTAATTCAAAGAATTTCAGGAAGTAAACTGGACGTTGGAATGGACTATTGTGGGTCTCTGCGAAAGGCTATAACCACTCCGTTGGTTGATAATGGAGCAGACGGTGTAGCTGATGCTGTGCTGGCCATGACCTCGTACGACCTCTTGCGTGAAGATATGGAAGCTATTATAGAGTTGTCTAATTGGCCAGGCATGAAGGACCCTATGAGCAGTGTTGAGAGCAAGGTAAGGTGATATTATATACTATACACTACATTATACAGTTTTCATAAAAGAATTTTCTGGGAGGAGCCCCTTTGGCTCCCTGGAGCTATCCAGGCTGATATGGATATATCAGACTTTGGCATCAGTCAGTGTGAATGGAGTTCCTAGGCCTACTGGGGACCACGAGCCAGAACCTGGCCCCCTCAGAGAGGTACGAGGAGCAATGGCCTAAAGAATAGCACATGTGATTTGGAGCATTCTGTGTCTGCCCTCAACTGGATCAGGCACCCAGAAAGGTAAGCATCCTAAAACAAACCCCTATTCTGGTTGAAACTACAACTGAAAATCCGAGTCGACAGAACTTCCTAAAAAAAAACAAGCAAACGAGCATGACGTCACCACTTGCTGCACCGCCGTCTGTGCAGCTCCCCCCTCCTGGGGAGGGGGAAGGGGGAGCTTCAGACCCCTCGCACTGTCAACCCACGCCTTCAGTTCTTCGGCTGATGGCAATGGTATTGGTTGCTGTGGGTCTGGCTCCTGATTCTGTCCTCTGCTCTGTGCCTTGTGGTGTGGGGCGAGTCTTCTCTGGTAGTGCGCGAGCCAGGCGTAATTTCCCAAGTACTCGGGCTGGATGCGCCTAGGGTCACCTTCCCTAGGTGCCCTGTAAGTACTGCCCTTGGGGCCAACTTCCACAAGTCACCTTGGTCTTTTGCTGCTTGGTAATTGACCACCCTGAGTGTGTTGGGGTGGAGGGGGGGGGGGGGGGGCAATTCCTCCTCCCTTGTTTACTGTAGGGTAAGGAATAGCTTTCACCGGTTGAGGCGCAGGGTACTGCACAGCTAGTTATCACCTATAATGGAGGCTGGCTCTGTTTGGCCTGGGTACGTGGTTTACGTACCCAGGCGTACTACGTACTAGGCGTACCTAGTATGTACCTAATTCTAAAACCTACGTACCTAAAACCTAGGCGTACGTAGTACGCCTAGGTTTTTCATATGCCGCATACTGTCGCCTTGTATTGTGTGGCGCTGGCAGAGCCGCTATGGCTTGCTTTCGGTTTTGATGTTCCTTCTGCACCGTTTTGCAAGTTGTCTCGGGCGTTGTTTCACCTCTGGCCTGCTCATGCGCCACCTGAGCCATCCTGGTCTTTGGACCAGGTGCTCTCTTTTTCTCTCTTTCCCTCGGTTTGCTGTGGCTCCTTCGGTTCAGGACTGTTTCCCAGAGGTTACTGCTCCTTTGGATTTTGGTGATCGGTTTGTTCGTTTGCAGCAGTCTCTTCTGGCAAGGTTGGGACGGCTGTTTTCCAGAGGGGTCCCTGGGGTTGTTGTTGGTTTGGCCGGGGGTGCATTTTCTTGTGTCCAGTCATGGCTGTCAGCCACTGCCTGTGTGCCGCGGCCTCTGTGGCCTTGGCCACGCTTTGGGTTGACCTGGGTTACCTTCATCCCTGTTCCAGGGTTTGGGTCTCCCGGGTCGTCCACAGGGTCATTCGGGGTTGCCAGTTGTCTTGCTTTCAGGTTCAGGCATGTGGTTTCCGCCTCCCGGATTTGTCCTTCTTTTGTCCTTGTCTTTGGGTAGATAGGTCCAGGGAGTCGAAGGGGGCTCCCCCAGAAAACCAGCGTTGAATGTAATGAAATATCATTTTCTGGGTGGGACCCGGAGGCTCCCTGGCATCCCTCCCTCCCTCCTGGTCGGCAATTTTTTCACGCATTTTGATATCCAGCCTCAGAACTGAAGGTGTGGGATGCTGGCACGAGGGGTCTGGGGCTCCCCTTTCCTCCTCCTGGGGGGGGGGGATGAGCTGTGCAGATGGCAGGGCAGCAAGTGGTGACATGCTTATTTGCTTGTTTTTCTTTGGGGGTTCTGTCTACTCGTTTGACATTCAATAGTAGTTTCAACCAGAATAGGAGCTTTGTTTTGGGATGTTTACCTTTCTGGGTGCCTGATCCAGTCGATGGCAGACAGAGAATGCTCCAAATCACATGTGCTATTCTATGGGCCAGTGCTCATTGTGCCTCTCTGAGGGGGCAAGGTTCTGGCTCGTGGTCCCCAGTAGGCCTATGGACTCCATTCACACTGACTGATGCCAAAGTCTAATATATTACATATCAGCCTGGATAGCTCTAGGGAGCCTCCGCGTCTCACCTAGAAAATTGCGTTTCATTACATTCAACGCTGGTTTTTGTTGTCTTTCCTCGTAAAGAGTTTAGCTGTTCTCCGTTTGTCCACTTCCCACCTGAGAGGTATGAATTGTTTTGTTCCTTCTCTTCATTTCTGTATCAAAAGTGGCATCATCTTACCTGCTGACTTTCTTTCCATTTTAGTCTGCTGTTGAACATCCTGCAGATAAGCCGTAACCCTCCTGTAGGCCCCTCATCTGGATTTTGTCATGCTCTTTATCCTGTTTCCAACACGCTTACAGTTCCACAACATAATTGAACTTGATACTGCAGTGGTTAGTGATTTCTAGTAGCATCTCATATTTTAAGTTCTCTCTATCTATAAAGTTTTGTTTCTAGAAGTAAACACCAGGTCTCAGGTACCCACTGGTAAATCATTCATCTTTCCCGTATCTGCTCCTAGATATGCTGCCACAGGAAGTTTGTGTATAGTGCCCACCAATCATGGTCTTTATTTTTCATCTCCACCATGAGGTTACTTTGTAGATCAGACGATTTCTCTGTGGTTAAAAATCCCAAGTATTAGGATCTTTTGTGTGGCTCTCCTTGCCACATTTCTTATTATCTTCAGGCATATTTTGTTGCATTTATCATATACCTCCCTTGACCTCTTTTTGTGGGTTAGTTGCCTCCAGAATCTCCTCAACACTCCACTGTTGTATCACAAGAGCTGCTCCTCTCTCTTTGTTTAGCTTTTTTTATTTCTACCAGGTAAATCTACCTGGTAGATTTTTCTACCAGCTCAATCTCGTGCGGCTAGAATTGCCGCTAATCCCTCTAAGAAGAAGTTGCGAACTGGACACCAATTGCTGGAGATCCGTCGACTAGTTAATAGGCCAGAGTCTCGTTCGTTATCGGAATTAACCAGACTAATCGCTCCACCAACTAAGAACGGCCATGCACCACCACCCACCGAATCGAGAAAGAGCTCTCATTCCCGGCTCTTGGGAATATTGCATCCTCTGTTACGTTAGTTAGATTTAGTGTGTACTCACCTAGTTGTACTCACCTAGTTGTGTTTGCGGGGGTTGAGCTCTGGCTCTTTGGTCCCGCCTCTCAACCGTCAATCAAAAGTGTGTAAGTGTGATGACGTAAGTGTGGGTGTGCTGACACCAAAGAGCAAAACAAACCACTTAACACCTGCAAGCAATAATTAGAAGCACAGGAAAAGCCAATTATCACTGGTAATTAAAAGACCACACTCCTCATTGTGTAGGGATGCCAGATTGGGTTACTTGTAGCACAGTTGGGATACCAATTAGGATAATTGTATTCATTTTTTACAGTACAGTTTGTGACTTCATTCTTCAGCTCGTAACTTTCGGCAACTCAGATCTGGCATCCGCGCTCATACATGCCATTAACATAGGCACACTGTCCGTGCGTGTATTTAACACATACACTGCTTCTTCATCCACAACACACACATTTCTAATATGTTCTTAAGTTCATACACTCTCCTTAGATATGTCCTTATTGCCACACAATGTATGTGTGTGTCCTAATGCCACAGATCCCACGTGTGTCCACAACACACACTCTGCATGTGGTTATCTTGAGATGATTTCGGGGCTTTTAGTGTCCCCGCGGCCCGGTCCTCGACCAGGCCTACACTCCCAGGAAGCAGCCCGTGACAGCTGACTAACACCCGGGTACCTATTTTACTGCTAGGTAACAGGGGCATAGGGTAAAAGAAACTCTGCCCATTGTTTCTCGCCGGCACCCGGGATCAAACCCGGGAGCACAGGATCACAAGTCCAGCGTGCTGTCCGCTCGGCCGGCCGGCTCCCCATGTGTCATTAACCGCTCACACTCCTTGCATACCCATCACTTTTATAACATCTGTTTCACACACTTAAATTCTTATAAGGTTTGGTGTATTCTACACCTCATCCATGTAAAATGAGTAAATGGATTATCCACAAACTGCTTAAAAGTTAATTCTGTGTCAGTGAAAAGTTTGGATTTATTTTAATAGTTTCATAATTAAGTTTACCTGTATACACAGCATTTTGTAGTACAGTATCTTTTTTCAGCCCATGCTCTCAAGTTGTCACTGCAAAAATGTACTAAATTTCCTACACCTAACCTGAGTACCTACGAATAGAAAACGGGACAGCCCATCAATTTGGCAAGCTGCTACGAATTGTAGTACACATCACATTTGACCTTTAGAGATTTATACATCAAAATCTGATGTTCTGATGTAACCCTTTAACAGCGCAAATGGCAGGATACCAAAACCCATTAACAGAGGACAGGTTGCTTGATTTGTAATATGTCGGTGAGGTAACTTTGCAACCCATTATATCTGGCTGATATTCACAGGTGAAAGCGGCCTTCACCCGAACTTATAACAAAGACAGTCACTTGAATCCATTTGCTACTACGACTATCAGTAAGAAAAGAAAGGGAAGCAAAGTAGTGGAAGAGGACCCGTATGGAGAAGGGGAAGAGGATGACGAGGAGGATGACAGCATTGAAGAGGATATTACAGCAAGTGGCATGATCAAGGTAATGTAGTGGCATGATCAAGGTAATGTAGTGGCATGATTAAGGTAATGTAGTGGCATGATCAAGGTAATGTAGTGGCATGATCAAGGTAATGTAGTGGCATGATCAAGGTAATGTAGTGGCATGATCAGGGTAATGTAGTGGCATGATCAGGGTAATGTAGTGGCATGATCAAGGTAATGTAGTGGCATGATCAGGGTAATGTAGTGGCATGATCAAGGTAACATAGGGGCATGATCAAGGTAATGTAGTGGCATGATCAAGGTAATGTAGTGGCATGATCAAGGTAATGTAGTGGCATGATCAGGGTAATGTAGTGGCATGATCAAGGTAATGTAGTGGCATGATCAAGGTAATGTAGTGGCATGATCATGGTAATGTAGTGGCATGATCATGGTAATGTAGTGGCATGATCATGGTAATGTAGTGGCATGATCAGGGTAATGTAGTGGCATGATCAAGGTAATGTAGTGGCATGATCAAGGTAATGTAGTGGCATGATCAGGGTAATGTAGTGGCATGATCAGGGTAATGTAGTGGCATGATCAGGGTAATGTAGTGGCATGATCAAGGTAATGTAGTGGCATGATCAAGGTAATGTAGTGGCATGATCAAGGTAATGTAGTGGCATGATCAAGGTAATGTAGTGGCATGATCAAGGTAATGTAGTGGCATGATCAGGGTAATGTAGTGGCATGATCAGGGTAATGTAGTGGCATGATCAAGGTAACCATAACCATACCTACCACCACCACCACCACTCCTGCCACCACCACCACCACTCCTGCCACCACCACCACCACTCATGCTACCACCACCACAACCACTCCTGCTACAGAGCACCACTTGGTGTCCGAACCCGTTGGGGATGAGACCCATTGGTTAACATGTAAGTTCGTATACAAGAAATGAAGGGAAAAAACAAATGAAAAAATCTAGGGGAAAAAAATCGACAGGTTCATAGCGTAAATGCGACCGTATTTTGTTTGTACTCACCAATAATTGAAGTCCTGATCCGCTTATGTTGATGATCGATGTTGATGAAGCATAGTTATTTACATGGAAGAGGTGGTGATGGATGTTGATGGTGTTGGGTTGACTGGGTCGACATGCGATGAGTCAGGTGCAGGTGATGCAATACGAGCTTTCTTGGAAGCCATTGTGAAAGACTCTAATTGACATGTTTCATTCCCTTGGATCTTGTTTTTAAAAACTTCATATACAAATTGTACAGAGTCATCATGTCCTTAGTTTCAAACTCGCTGTTACTCGTGTCCATAAATGCCAGAATGTCTACAAAAATTTTCTGAATTTTTTCCATATTACATTTTTCCTTTAACGTTTCTTCATCCTCTTCCTCTTCCTCTCCATCTTCTTCATTGCACTCTTCTGGTTTTTTGCTGTACTTACTAATTCTATAATTTCATCATCAGTCATGTTTCGATTGTTTGGGGCTTCTTCATCAAAATCTATCCATCTATGTCATCTTCTATTGTTTCAGTCACCAGTTCTGCTCTCAACTCAGGGGACTTAATCCCCTTGACATAGGCTAAGAGTTCCTCTCTTAATTTTTTCTTCTCGCTAACTTTCTTCACCGCAAATCCTTCAAAATCTGCCTCGTCATCTTCCTCAGAAAACCAAATTTTTTTCCAACCATTTCTTAGTGTTGTCTGCTTTACCTCATCCCACGCACTAGCAATAGTCCAGATAGCTGACTTTATTGTGAAGACTTTATAAAAGTCCTTAATCGTTCCGCGCTGATTATTAAGACGTCTGGCAAACATCTTCTTGTAGTGGTGTTTAAGGTTCTTAATTATTCCTTGATCCATGGGTTGGATCACTGAAGTTGTATAGGGTGGCAAGAACGTTCCAATAATATTGCCATTTACTAGCTCATCACCTTGTGGATGCATTGAACTATTATCTAGCTGCAGCACAACTTTGCTGTTTTGCGGGAGGTCAACACTTTTCAGGTGTTCCTTCACCTCGGGTACAAAGTTCTTATGAAACCACTCGACAAATATTACTCGAGACATCCACGCACTTGGCTGGTTCTTATAAATCACAGGGAGGCACCTGGCTGACTTTAAAGCCCTGGGGTTTTTACTAATTCCAATCACAAGTAATATTAATTTGTGCGTACCAGCTGCATTTGCACAGCACAACAAAGAAATTCTCTGTTCTGTTTATAACCACCTGAAGGATCGTCCTCACCACTATGAGCCATCGTTTCTGTGGGAAGGATACGCCAGTACAAACCTGTCTCATCAGCATTATAAATTTGCTCTGGAGATAAATTTTGTTCCTGCACCATCTCCGCAAATTTACTCACATATTCATCAGCACCAACAATATCAGCAGATTGTCTTTCACCATGCACTTTAATGAACTTAATGCCATGATGGGTTTTAAAACTTCTGAGCCATCCATCACTGTATACACACTTTTGAGTAATTTTCATTGCTTGGTGAAATTCACGCGCCTTTTCCACGAGCAGCCAGCCTGCCACTGGCTTCTTCGTCACTTCGCGTCTCTGTTTGTACCACTCCCACACTGCGTTATCAACACTCTCCACCTTTGCTTTACTTACTACCTTTCTATTTCGTATTGCTTTATCACTTTCACTTCTAGAGAAATAGTAAAAAATGATAAGTTTAGCCTTAAGAAGATCAAAAAGAGTACTTTTACTAATGCCATATTCAGCGCACACGACACTTCTCGGGACACCGCTCTCCACCTTCTTAATTATTTCAACTTCTCAAATGTCATCACTGACCTCTTTCTTTTACGTAACCCGCTTGTAGATACTTTCACTGACACAATGCGTGCATTTGGAGTCGACATGGTGCACAGATGTTCCTTTGTTGTGCTGATATGTAAAACAAAGTCACAGAATGAACACTCCAGTCTCGTGACAAATTCAAACAATGGGAACAATAGGCCGTGAGTCTGTGACGTCACAGGGTAGCAGGCGGCGCCCGACATGGTCAGTGAGCAAACTAAACCATCTCCCACCCACCTACCCACACCACGGGCCGGCACAACGCTTGGCTGCCCGCCTGACTGCTTCCTCACCCGAACTTGGTTCGTGTAGGGTAACCCCAACCCCGACCGGCGTGAAGCTTGGCGGACTGCTTCCTACCCGAACTTAGTTTGTGTAGCGTGACTCCCCAACACCAACCGGGAAACTGGAAGTTTCAGATAACTAAAGTTCGGGAACCAAGTGGTGCTCTGTACCACCACCACCACCACCACTCCTGCTACCACCATCATGTTTGTGGCATGAGATGTGCTGCACTTTAGTCTATTGCTCTTCATGTGATCTAACCATATGTGGTTACAAATATTGTCTTAAGAAAGGAACATATTGTGATGATTTATGGAAGTCAAATATGCAATATACATTGTTGTGTATTTCAGACCAGTAAAGGAAGGAGTAAGGGTGTACAAGAAGGCAGCAGCAAGGGCCGAGGCCGAGGTGTTGAGAGCAGCGGCAGCAGCAAGGGAAGCGGCCGAGGAAGAGGACGAGGGAAAGGCAAGAAATGAGAACAGGTGCAGTGACTTCTATATGTTTACAATGGCGGTGAAATTAATAATGTAGGATTTGAGTTAGAAATATTGTTGTCAAGTGGTGGCAGAGAGAGAGTGAGTGAATTTTCTGTGTTAATACCAGTTTTGTCTTCTTTCCTTCAAGGTGGCCAAAGAAAAAAGCTTCAGTGTTGTCCTACCCGAACATAACATGTGTTGGTTACTCCTTATTCCAGCATAAGAATTTTCAATTGAGCAATCTTGCACTTTCCCTTTCAATAGAATAGTTTGTCACTCTAACACCACTTACTTCACTCTTGAAATGTATATATTCTCCAGAAGTGAATCATCACCCATTATCTCCACATGTCTGCCATTACCCAAACACTCTTTAATTCCTTATTCTCTCACCTAACTTGGAATAATTAAATTTGCCAAAGTTATATAATTTGTGTTTCAGGTTTTACTCCCAAAGGTCTGTGTTGTCATTCCACATCCAGGTTTTACTCCCAAAGGTCTGTGTTGTCATTCCTCATTCCTTCTATTTAGTGATGTAGCTCCAGGAAGCCATAGGGGCTCCCCCACAGAAAACCAGCATTGAATGTAATGAAACGCCATTTTATTACATTCATTTGGCAACCCTCCCTCCCGGTCGGCGGTTCCGTTTCCTTTTTGATGCTCGACCTCTGAACTGGATGGCTTGGGTAGTCGGCGCGGGGGGTCAGCAGACCACGGACATTACCCACACACCCGGCTATCCACAGTGTGGGTAGCTGGTACAGCGGTAAGGTGTGATGTTTGCTTGTTTCCTTAAGTTGTAAGTCGAGTTTTGTCTTCCTGTTCGGTTTTTGTCGCAATTTCTTAACATGTGGTGTTTGTTTTGTTATGTCTACCTTTCTGGGTAATGGCAAACGTGGAATGCCCCCAACCACATGGGGGGTTTCTATAGGCCATTGCTCCCTTTGCCTCTCTGAGGGGTCCAGGTTACAATTGACTGATGCCCCTGACTAATATAACACATATCAGCCTGATAGCTCTGGGGAGCCTCCGGGGCTCACCCAGAAAATGGCATTTCATTACATTCAATGCTGGTTTTGTGCATATCAATATCTGAATGAAGTGGTGGGAGTGGGTTGAATGAATGCCAAAGACTATAGGCTCGATTGCACATTTCACATATATTGACTTCATTAAGGGGGTGTGAAGGGCAATTCCCTCTCAATGGGGCATAGAGACTGACCCCTAACCACCCTGTCAAATTCCCCCAAAATCACCAGTCACAATTACATGAGGCTATCATGTAATTGATATATGGCTATCCAGCAGTGCTGGATCTGTCTCCCTCACATAATCTCTACCTTCCATTCTCTCCCCCAGTGGGCAAAATGTGCTCGAGTAATGTTGAGCAGACGTTGATTCAACATTAATAAAGAAAAAATCTTTTAACACACTGTTGACAAACCCATATTTCTAGCCTCATAATAGTTATCAGTGTAGGAGCGAATCCTACTTAGAAGGGTATATGGGGGTCAATCCCAACAACCCTACGCAACCCGTTCTCGCACTTTCGTATAGTCAATATTGACTTATTAAATACATGCATATGTGACATACTAGTTTACCTTGAAAAGCTTCATAGTAAACACCGACCTTACCTAACCTTCTTAGTATGTTAAGATAAGCATCTTATTGCTTCATAATTACAATTATTACTTAACCTATACCTATAATAGGTTAAGAACTTTTTAACTGAACTTTTTAGGATCTCTCAAATAATGTCCATCTTGTATGATAATGCTGGAGATAAATGGTGGTTGTGTTTTGTCTTGAGATAGGTTTCCAAATTTCCCAAAGAAAATTGTCATTTTCATTAACTGTATATTAACAAATTATTTTGAGAGCATTGTTAAGTCAAAAAAATTGTAGGGATCATAATTTTTTGTTTTTTTATTCTCAGGTACAAACAAAATAAAGTACAAGAAAATTAAGTAAGATATTGTTGATATGTTGTAATCATTAACGGCTGGAGAGTACGGGAAGCATACAGGCTGCTGGTGAAGGCTGTCAACACAAGCACAGTACACTCTACTCTTCCTATGTGAAGTGCGGCTGAAAGTATAAGAAATGTTTTGTGATAAGGACAAATTCCTGTATACCTCAACTCTGTTATAATGTATACATTAGCAAAATGTTTAACAAAGATCTCCCAAATAGTTGTTATTTTAAATGTTCTATTTTGTTTGTACTATAACCATTAAATTAATTCCTTTTGACTATATTTTGATGCTCCTTCTGAAAATACTAGGCACTGCCAGCTTTGAGTCGAACTATGCCGTTTAACTCATAAACTGAGCAAAACGTCATATGATGTGTGACATTGAAAGGGGTTATAATTCAAAAAATATTTGAATTATGTAAAAATTACTTAAAAATGCTAAACAAATCTCCAACTTATTTGCTTCGGTTTCGTGAAACTTTCATCAAAATATTTTGAGAAATTTATTTTAGACAAAATTTAAAAAAAAAAAATTGTTGATAAAGAGAACAGCTCCTATTAACTGGAACTGATGGATAATGCAGTAATAAAGAGATGCAAGCACCTGTCCGACGCACAATGAAGAAGAACAGTAGTAAGAAGTGTCCACACAGTGGCTAATGCAGCTGGTGCTTTTATAGTATTGCTGAGTAATACATAACATAATTACTCATTATTATTTGTGTTATTATTATGCTCTATTTTGTTTATGCACCTCAGAAACGGTGCATACAACTTCAACAAGGCTGCCAACACCCCAGCTGCCGAAGCAAGCACATCGGACACTGACCCGGAACCCAGCTGCTCCACACCCACCCCGAGCCAGTCCAAAGACAGCTCCAGCAGGAAAAAGAAGTGCAAGACCGAAGCCAAGTGCCCTCTAAGAAAAGAAAAGGCAGTCTGCCAACCAGGAAGACTCCGGCACCTCGAAACGCACTCAATAAGGAAAAGAGGCGCCAAACTCAAAAGAAGGCGGCTTCACTATTGAGGTGTAAACCGGGTCTCGCAGGAGGTAAGCTGCAAGAGCCTCCAGCACCTTCCTCGGTGGGATGCGGGAAACCAAAAACCTCCGGAAGGAGGGAACCCAACCGAACCCGGGGAGGAGTCAAACTCATAACAAAATCGTACAGGGAGGGGGATAGGAAAACCCCCTCCCCCTGTAACAAGCCCAGCACCGAGGGTACCAACACCCAAGCAGGGTCAATTGGGACCCAAGCCCCCCAAAGTCAACTCCTCCCCAGCCCCGGAATCCTCCACATCAGGACCCAGGGCAAAGCCGTCCTCCAAACCCTCTGCCTCTGAAGAAAACGCAGAGTCCACCCCAGAAAAGCAGGGATGAAGGGGGCCCACTGGCGCAACCCAAAAGCTACAGCAGGAGGACCAGGCTCGAATGCCTGGTCCTCCACTCGCAGGACTCCGGGTCATAGGTGTCACTGACCTCAACAGGCAGCAAGGCGGAGGCAGACGGTGAGTGTCACCCTGAGACAAGGGGACAGAGCAACCTTCAAACTCGCACAAAGCGAGGTGGGACTCAGAGGTCTCTTCTATAGGAACACTGAGCCCTAATGGCATTTTCCAGGGCCCTTTGGCTGACTGCCAAGGGAAGCTCAGGTGAGTTACTGCTAACCGGTTATCTCAGAGCTACAAAGCAAACAAACTAAAAGCCTGCACACTAGGACATGTGCAAGCATGGGGACCTAGTGGACGGCAGACAAAACCATACAAGTGGTCCTACCGCCACACAAAACAAAACAAAACAAAAACCCTGCAAAAGCACACGTCTCCAGGTGAACAGAACTGGTCGCTATGCGTATTTAAGACAGCTGTACAGTACCTCACACCCAAGTCAGCGACAAAACTACCTCCTACCCAAGGGTAAACAGGAATAAGAACCACCCCAGCTGAACCCCAAGGGCAGGCAATCACTGAGTAGCAACAGAACCACACAGAGGTAGCTGCTGCTGAATGGCTCATGGAAGATGACCCTGAGGCCACAAAGGTACTACTTATGGGGCACCTAAGGAAGGTAACCGTAGGTGTATGCAGCCCCAGTACTCTTGTGTTACTTCTGGCTCACACACCACCAACACAACAACAACACCGCACTGCTCAAAGGATGGAGCCAGAGCAATCAACCGTTCGCCCTCACAATAGCCTGTGAACTGAGGAGAGTTGCCGGCGTGGAGGTCTAGGATCCCCCCCCTCCATCCCTCTCCCGGAGAGGGGGGGTGCACAGATGGTTGTGGTGACATCATGTTTGTTTCCTTGTTTTTTGATTGGGGAGTTCTGTTTGCTAGTTCAGCTTTCGGTTTGCAATTTTTGACCCGCAGTAGTTTGTTTTGGAATTCCTACCTTTCTGGGTGCCTGACCTGGTATTTGGCAGACAAAGACTGCTTCCAATTACACGGGGGTGTCTTTAGGCCATTGCTTCTCATGCCTCTCTTGAGGGGGCCAGGTCCTAGCTCTGGTCACCGGTAGACCTAGAACTCATTCTATTGACTGTTGCCATAGTCTAATATATACACATCAGGCCGGTATAGCTTCGAGGAGCTGAAAGGGCTCTTCCCAAAAAAGGCTTTCAACAGAGTCCCACATTAAGTAGTTGTTCTGGAAACTGGAACATATTGGAAGAGTGACAGGCAGGCTTCTAACTCGACCTCTTTTTGTTGGTATCACTCATAAGCTACACAAACATTCATTATGTAGCAGAAACACAATGGTATTAAACACTTATTACCATTCTGTATTTCCAGTATTTCTGTAACATCAACATAAGTTTTGATATTATGTATTAGCCCATAGTTCAACAACTAGCCGCATGGTATTGGTGGCACCACTGGTATGCTGATCAGCTGTTTTAAATGATGAGTTTGCAGGGCTATGTTTACTACTGTAAAGTAGTCTGTGTTGTGATATTATACAATAATACCTACGATGCCATTAATACCATTGTGATATTATATGGTAATGCCTACGGTAAATACGCTAAAGAGACTTCCCAAACATGAGTTTCAGTAGGAAATAATTGTGATGGGCTGTGAGAGTTATGCTGAGTGGTATACAACGAGTGTTAGGCTGGGAGTTTCACTTGTTTATCTCTCGGTGGTAAAGGTTCATACTTTATATTCAGCGGACAAGTCGACCCCTGGCTTTGAAGTAATATTTTTAGGCTTCAAATGTGATGTTGACTTATACACCAGCATATACAGTAAGTGAGAAGATGGTGGAATTCAAAACTGTCAGTAGTTTCAAGCATTAACAGTCTCCGTGGTGTAGTGGTAAGACACTCGCCTGGCGTTCCGCGAGCGCTATGTCATGGGTTCGTATCCTGGCCGGGGAGGATTTACTGGGCGCAATTCCTTAACTGTAGCCTCTGTTTAATGCAACAGTAAAATGTGTACTTGGATGAAAAAACGATTCTTCGCGGCAGGGGATCATATTCCAGGGACCTGCCCGAAACGATACGCGTACTAGTGGCTGTACATGAATGTAACAACTCTTGTATATGACAAAGAATGCTGTAGAGACGGGACACCACAAGCGTAGCTCTCATCCTGTAACTACACTTAGGTAATTACACCACTGGTTAAACATCACTGGATGCAATGCGCAGAAAAGGAATTAAATATGATTATGACTTTGATGTAGATTTTTGATGATAGTTTAACTTAAATTAAGTGTGGCTTAGAGGTCACTTATACTTGTGTAAATGCAGTATTGCCAAGGCAATGTGGAGAAGACGAGCAAGCAGCACTATGGTGTGACAGCCTTATACTAATAAATTGGTATATATTGGGCGAGCCATAATTATTTTAAAATAAAACCAATAATTATAGATGGCTAACCTCTGGTACTCTGGATACTGGAGATCAAAATGAATGCTAGCATGAGTACTTGGAAGCAAACACTTGAGCCATGATACCATATAATTGCTGCAATGTTTGCTAGTCGCCCACACTGGCCTAGTAGCAGCCCATTATAAAGTGGCAACCATCTTCTGAAAGGAACATGTAATATTTTAGTTTTGGGGGTTATTGCATCATTGTTTCCCTCATCTATTATCAGTTTTTAGCATTATAAGACTTATGAGAACAGGTCAGTAAATTCAGCATATAAAGTATAGTATTTAGATGAAAAGCATTTCATATCAACTAGTATAACACTTGCCTGTAGGACAATCTTAGCCAAGAATAAAGTGCAATTACTAGGCCAAATATTCCAATTTCTGAAATAAAATTACAACTTTAAGAATTTTTGGTTTATACAAATTGTTTTTATCAGTAATACACCTTATTTTTTCCCATCTTCATTAACACCACCACATTGTCCACAAATGTTAGTTGGAAATAAAGTGTACAAATACAGTACATTATACAGTGGAACATGTGGGAACTGGGGAACACTGGGTTCCCAGCCCACCCCATTATAAAAGTGCAGGAGATGCGAGACTGATCGCAGCAGACAGTTCTGGGCAGGTGGTGCGCCGTTGCATCCCTATGGCAAGTCCGCCACCCACCCACTCATCCCACCCCACCTCCCTCGTCAGTCATGTTACTTTTACATACCCCAATGTACATCCAACACAACAACCATCACTTAGAAGGTATGGAAAACCATTACAACTGACCTCACATTTCAACAAGTTAGGGATAGTGCCTTACCAATAGTAGTTAATGTACACATTATATACAAGTATACTTCATTATTTTGTATTCCGTTTCCAGGTGGGAGGCTTTGTGCAAAGTTGGTCCATCTGACGTATCCTTCACTTAACACTAGAGACACCGCCAGCTTCATGTAGAACTGTGCTGTCTGAAAAATGTATATATATTTATCATGGTAATATTCTCTAAGGTAAATTATTAAATACAGTACAAATGTACTGTATCTTTTGAATATACAACAGCAAAATGAATTTTTGCTGTTGTATAATGCTAGTACAGTGGTACCTTAGCTTACGAATTTAATCCGTTCCCAGAGACAGCTTGTAAGCCGAATATTCGTAACTGAAGTGAATTTCCCCATAAGAAATAATGTAAATTTAATTAATCCGTTCCAGACTCCCCAAAAAATTAACTTCAAAGTAAATTTTATACCTAATTTACCCAAATCTTCAGTACTAAAGTACAGTATGTACAAGTTATTACTTACCTTTACTGATGACTCTTGTTGGCGTATGGAAGATGGTGAGGAGGGGGAGGAGGAGAGGTGTTACTGTTTAGAAGGGGAGTCCCCTTCCATTATAACATCAGGCAGTGAGGACTCCTCTGGGGTACTCTCTGGCACGTTTTGCCTGCATACCACTAGATCCTGCTTGTGGCTCAGTGCATGTTTTTTTGTTTTTTTTTTCACTAAAAAAAACGTGTCTAGCAATACTTGTTTTTCCCTTCATTGTAACACTTGTCTGAAGTGAGACATCACATTGTCATTAAAAAGGTTAATACAACGGTCTGCTACAATTTGATTTGGGTGACACTTTTCAGCAAAACTTTGCAATTCTTCCCATACTGTACACATTTTCTTAATAAATAAGGAAGGGACATCCTCTACTCTACATCAACAACCCTCATATCATTTTCATATTAACAAATGATCTCTTGTTTTTCCTCAATTGGTCACTCTCACTTTTGTTTTCTTGGCTTGAACCTTACCACTGGCTTTCTTGGGACCCATGGCAAGATAATAACTTTTATGTTCAAATAACCCCCCCCCCCCAAAAAAAAAAAAATAAAAAACACTAATTCTTTACAAAGAAATCAGGCGCGATTGTCACTAGGCGGGAGACACTGTTAAACTGAGCCGTGACTGCCGTGCCACCACGCACTAGGTCAGCCATACAGGTATCAACAAACTTCGTTTCCCGAGGCAAAGCTCGTAACCCGATTCGGATTTTACAAACAAATTGGGCTCGTAACCCAAAAAGTTCATAAATAGGAGTATTCATAAGCCGAGGTCTCACTATACTGTAAACAGTAAATAAGTACATGTAGTTTAATACTGAAATACATATACATGGGTTCCAGTTCCATATTGCCATTTAAAAATTCAAGCATTCAATACAGTACTGTATTATGAAATGGCCTTCCCTGGTTGTTTCCCAGTAGCTCCCCAAACTTAACCTTATCCTAACACAACACATCATGTCTCTGTGATCTGAGAGCCCATACAATATTATTGTACTGTACTTTATTTTTAGCTTCAAGAGAGATACCAGCAGTGACCCTGATGAGTGAGGACAATACATGAACTCTTCTAGCACTTGAAACACATACTAATAATAATTAATAATTCATTGTGTCAGGGGACAGGCAGGCAGAGTGTATTCATACACGTTAGGCTTAGATCGTGCCCCCCCCCCCCCCAAGGGTCAAATTACTGACCCCGCCGAGGATGCAATCCCACAACAAGCTGACTAACTCCTCAGTCCCTACTCACTACTAGGTGAACAGGTGCATTATGTGATAAGAAATGCGGCCAACTATTTCCGTCCCACAAAGGATTCAAACCCAAAACTCTCGATTTGAGTCGAGAACGATCCCGAGAAAGAAAAAATGCTGAACTTAGTGGCATTAAAAGAAACAACTCGTGATGAAGACATTACAAATGCATTTTACAGAACCTTAAGAAATGCTGATGTTACACTGAATAAACTCATCAGTGTTGCAAGAGATGGAGCACCTGCAACAGCTTAAAAAATGCACGCATGAGTCATTATTATTGCATTTAATATGCACTTTTAAATTTATATAAAATATTTGTAACAAAATGTGTATGTAACAATAAAAACGTGTGTAAGTTTTGTTCATGTGGTGCGGCTCTCAAGCGTGAGCTTTATTATGTGTGGCTCTTACAGTAGGCAAGTTTGACCACACTTGCCATATAGCCTTATATCACTGCTAGGTTTGTCTTAATCATAGTTGGATACCTGCACAATTGGCGGAGGATGCTTGCTTATTGATCTTCTAGCCTCTTAATACCTATTGTTAGAGATTACAGAGCAAGATTTTCTGCAATAAAATATATCTGGCACTTCATTTACACAAACTGGATGGTGCAGAATAGGTTAAAAGTTGCACAATATTTGCTATTTCAAGAAGGGTCAAGCTGGTATCTTTTGATCTTCTCAGCTCAACAGTTGGGGCTTCCAGACCATGTATATACAGTACAGTTACTATAATACACGACTCAATACTTGCCTGTGGCATCTTTCAAGCCGTCACATCTGAGTCTCACCAGATGCCATGGTTTCACAATAACAAAAATGTATTAGAACATTTTATACAAAACATACACCTTTTATACCTTCTTCCCACTTTCATAGGATGAGTTCAACAAATACCTAAGGTACTCATACCATATTAATTGTACTCATGACCATGAGAACATTGTTATTAACTCTATAATGATGCCATCATATACTGTACAAGTATGGCACAAGTTTATTGACAATATTCTTCAAACATTAAAGTACAGTATACCATAACACAATGGCTTCATTTACACTGTAAATATGGATACAGTATAGGCACCATGATCACTATGCTATTATGCTATCATGCTACAAGATATACAAAAATTTTCTTTGTTCATTACAGCACCAAAACTACTCATAAACAAGTAAAAATACATGAGAAAGTTCACCATGAATGTTAAAACACCAGAATTGGTTACATTTTTGTGCTTCCAGATGGTATTAATATCTGTATACCTATAGCCCATGGAGGATATTGTCTCATGTTCAGACTTTACTGCGACAAGTCTGCTAACAACACTGTTTTTGCTAACTACTAGTCTAATTTGTAATCAAATAAGAGAAATAAACTTACAAAGTTGTTTGCATTGTAGAGAATATGTCTGTACACAGTGATCTCTTGCAGCATCATATCCATAAAGATAATACTCTTCTCACACTCCACATACCGGTCAATTATCTTCCCACACGAAGACTGCCAAAGAAAATTAATTGTGTCTAAGAAATACATACTCAGATTACTGCATTATTGAAATATGTCATACATTATTTTATCATAAATTACATTAGAGATTTTGTTCATAAAAAATAATACCGTGTATTCAAGGCTTTCCAATAGCTTAGCCAACAATGTCATACATGAAACTAAGCCATAGAGCACTGCCCTGTGCAGGGCAAGATGGGGCTACACAAGCACGACACTATGCACGACTATGCTAGCACTCTCCTCAATGGGACTACACAATGGGATACTTGCACAAGGGGACGCTGGTGGGAGGTCCAGAAACAAAGAACCATGCACCGTAGGGTAAGAGAGGCAACAGGAGAAGATGGACACCAGACCATGCCTGAAGGACAGTACGGACACTACTGTGCCTGGAGGACATTACGGATACTGCCATGCGTGGAGGACAGTACTAACAGTGCCGTGCCTAGAGGACAGTACTAACAGTGCCGTGCCTAGAGGACAGTACTGACAGTGCCGTGCCTGGAGGACATTACTGACACTGTCGTGCCTGGAGGACATTACTGACACTGTCGTGCCTGGAGGACATTACTGACACTGCCGTGCCTGGAGGACAGTATGGACACTACCGTGCCTGGAGGACAGTACTGACAGTGCCTTGCCTGAAGGACAGTACTGACAGTGCCGTGCCTGGAGGACAGTACTGGCAGTGCCGTGCCTGGAGGACAGTACTGACAGTGTCGTGCCTAGAGGACAGTACTGACAGTGCCGTGCCTGGAGGACATTACTGACACTGTCGTGCCTGGAGGACAGTACTGACAGTGTCGTGCCTGGAGGACAGTACTGACACTGCCTTGCCTGGAGGACAGTACTGACAGTGCCGTGCCTGGAGGACAGTACTGACAGTGCCGTGCCTGGAGGACAGTCCTGACAGTGCCGTGCCTGGAGGACAGTACTGACAGTGCCGTGCCTGGAGGACAGCACTGGCAGTGCCGTGCCTGGAGGACAGCACTGGCAGTGCCGTGCCTGGAGGACAGCACTGGCAGTGCTGTGCCTGGAGGACAGCACTGGCAGTGCCGTGCCTGGAGGACAGCACTGGCAGTGCCGTGCCTGGAGGACAGTAGTGACAGTGCCGTGCCTGGAGGACAGTAGTGACAGTGCCGTGCCTGGAGGACAGCACTGGCAGTGCCGTGCCTGGAGGACAGTATTGACAGTGCCGTGCCTGGAGGACAGTACTGACAGTGCCGTGCCTGGAGGACAGTCCTGGCAGTGCCGTGCCTGGAGGACAGTACTGACACTGCCTTGCCTGGAGGACAGTACTGACAGTGCCGTGCCTGGAGGACAGTACTGACAGTGCCGTGCCTGGAGGACAGTCCTGACAGTGCCGCGCCTGGAGGACAGTACTGACAGTGCCGTGCCTGGAGGACAGCACTGGCAGTGCCGTGCCTGGAGGACAGCACTGGCAGTGCCGTGCCTGGAGGACAGCACTGGCAGTGCCGTGCCTGGAGGACAGCACTGGCAGTGCCGTGCCTGGAGGACAGTAGTGACAGTGCCGTGCCTGGAGGACAGTAGTGACAGTGCCGTGCCTGGAGGACAGCACTGGCAGTGCCGTGCCTGGAGGACAGTATTGACAGTGCCGTGCCTGGAGGACAGTACTGACAGTGCTGTGCCTGGAGGACAGTCCTGGCAGTGCTGTGCCTGGAGGACAGTACTGACAGTGCCGTGCCTGGAGGACAGCACTGGCAGTGCCGTGCCTGGAGGACAGCACTGGCAGTGCTGTGCCTGGAGGACAGTAGTGACAGTGCCGTGCCTGGAGGACAGTAGTGACAGTGCCGTGCCTGGAGGACAGCACTGGCAGTGCCGTGCCTGGAGGACAGTAGTGACAGTGCCGTGCCTGGAGGACAGCACTGGCAGTGCCGTGCCTGGAGGACAGTAGTGACAGTGCCGTGCCTGGAGGACAGTACTGACACTGCCGTGCCTGGAGGACAGTACTGACACTGCCGCGCCTGGAGGACAGCACTGAGTGTTGTGCCTGGAGGACAGTACGGACACTACCGTGCCTGGAGGACAGTACTGACACTGCCGTGCCTGGAGGACAGTACGGACACTACCGTGCCTGGAGGACAGTACTGACACTGCCGTGCCTGGAGGACAGTACTGAGTGTTGTGCCTGGAGGATAGTACGGACACTACTGTGCCTGGAGGACAGTACGGACACTGCCGTGCCTGGAGGACAGTACGGACACTGCCGTGCCTGGAGGACAGTACCGACAGTGCCGTGCCTGGAGGAGAGTATTGACAGTGCCGTGCCTGGAGGACAGTATTGACAGTGCCGTGCCTAGAGGACAGTACTGACAGTGCCGTGCCTGGAGGACATTACTGACACTGCCGTGCCTGGAGGACAGTAGTGACAGTGCCGTGCCTGGAGGACAGCACTGGCAGTGCCGTGCCTGGAGGACAGTAGTGACAGTGCCGTGCCTGGAGGACAGCACTGGCAGTGCCGTGCCTGGAGGACAGTAGTGACAGTGCCGTGCCTGGAGGACAGTATTGACAGTGCCGTGCCTGGAGGACAGCACTGACACTGCCGTGCCTGGAGGACAGTATTGGCAGTGCCGTGCCTGGAGGACAGCACTGACACTGCCGTGCCTGGAGGACAGTAGTGACAGTGCCGTGCCTGGAGGACAGTCCTGGCAGTGCCGTGCCTGGAGGACATTAGTGACAGTACCGTGCCTAGAGGACAGCACTGGCAGTGCCGTGCCTGGAGGACAGCAGTGGCAGTGCCGTGCCCAGAGGACAGTACTGACACTGCCATGGGTGGGTACTTACACATTCGAGGAGCTTAATAAAGGTACCATCAGTGGTCTTGAGGATGGCAGGGGCGGGCGCCAGGCAGGATATACACAGGTACCTGGCGGCCGCCATCACGGGGCCTTATCATCACGCTCCCTTCACACAACAACAACAACACTCCTCTTTATTTACATACAGATTCAGATTTATTTATTTATATATATAGATTAGAGATTCGATTATTAGAATATAGATTCATATTCTTATTCAGGTCAAGGTACAAGAATGTACAATGGGTTGTGTGAGTACATAACATTGGTATTTTAATATTTGTAGCAGGTATATTATGTGAGTAATATACTTGCTCCATATTCTCATTAGCTTAAGTGCAGATAATGAGATATATGTCTATTAATTCTATATTTTTATTTATTTTATTTATTTATATAGACAAGAGGTGTTACATTCTTGTACAGCCACTAGTACGCGTAGCGTTTTGGGCAGGTTTTTACAAAAAAATAAAATAAATAAATGTTTATTTAGGTAAGGTACATACATAAAGAGATTTTACAAAGTTTGTTGGATTAATAGATAGAGCTAGTACATACAATGCCTAAAGCCACTATTACGCAAAGCGTTTCGGGCAGTTTCGTTTCTTAATCTTAACCTATCACATTCCTAGAAGTCCTACGCTGATTATTGGTCCTCTGATTACAATTCCCAAGTGTACAACTAATTACAGTTAATTAATACCTCTTCCTAGCCTGGTAGGTGAGGGTCAGGTGAGGTTTGTAATATAAGTTTCGACAGCATATCAGTTCACTTTACGGGCTATTTACGCTCGTGCCACCTCTTAGGTGGCCTAATCTTTAATCAATCAGTTCAGGTGAACGCAGAGAGTGGGAATGCATCCTCTGCCAAACAATCATAGAAAAGCCACTACTTAATGTAAAGCAACAAAGGACCTTAGAAGAGCTTTAAGAGTCCCTGGATATTGCAGTAAATACCCTAAAGACATCAACACTGTCACACTTCTGGTAAAAGTTGGTCTCCAGCAGCTGGACACCCTCATGAAAACTGTCAATCAGTATCCTCCCCCGCGATAGCAGCCGCATAGTAAGGACTGACGATTAGATGCGCGCTCAGCACACAGTAGATTAGACATATATATGAATGAGATTGGGTGGATATAAATAGGAGCTGCCTCGTATGGGCCAATAGGCCTTCTGCCGTTAAATTGTCATCCACACTTCCGTGGAAATAAACATATCATTCACTTAGACTATATGGGTCTCGAACCGTGGACCCCACGTACGCGGCCTCACACGCGTGGGGTTCTACAGTTACCTAGCTTCAGTCTTATGTCCTTAGGCCGACCACGATGACTCGACCGACTCTGATGGTGCCCCTTCGCCGGCTCTCCCGCCCCTCATGCGGCCGCCGGGCACCCTTCAGATCCATCACCGGCACCAACCGGAGTGACAGGCTTCCATGCTGCCTCCACCGGGTATATCCGACGTGGCCGCGCACTATCCAACGAGGACAGACATTATTATAACTCTATAATCCACAACGGATAATGGGAATACAAGTGCAGGGAAGCAGGATGGATCCGTCACATTCGGACTCGTCTCTCTAGAATGCCTCGACCACTTCTGCGACTACGACACCTTGAAGAAGTAAATTCGTCCAGACTACCAACATTCTTGGAACTGGGACTATGAAACCAATCTTCTTGTAACACCCTGCCACCTCCCCCTAGACCAGCCGACCAGCCACCCCTGCTGACCCCTGTGGCACTCGGCTGTGAGTGACGTGTGTACCTCATCAATTCACCGGTCTGACCAGCCTTATGGTCTTGGATTGGATTGGCGCGTCCACGGACCCCATCCCCACATCTCCAGTATCAGCTGTTGACAGTGATAATGGCTCCAAAGAGCCTCCACTTACGAGCTTACCATAGCCCGTGATACATGGAATGTTTGTTCCAGTAGCTGAATCTAAAACACCAATCCTTTGTGTCTAATCAACCAAATACGTACATGTACTCATACGTTGACCAGACCACACACTAGAAATTGAAGGGACGACGACGTTTCGGTCCGTCCTGGACCATTCTCAAGTCGATTGTGTGAGAATTGTGGGTCGATTGTGGGAGAATCATTCTCCTTGAGAATGGTCCAGGACGGACCAAAACGTCGTCGTCCCTTCAATTTCTAGTGTGTGGTCTGGTCAACATACTTCAGCCACGTTATTGTGACTCATCGCCTACTCATACGTTACATTGGTGACCCAGAGAGTGTCAACAATACCCAGGCACCCCGACCCGACTACCAAGAACATGACCTCTCGTCTGACCTCAGCCACTACTGCTGCAGTCTGCCCTGGAACTCTGCCTCCAACCTTGCCACACCTCTGACTTTCATCATGATCATCGCTTACACTTATAATAGTAATCATTTTTTTTAAGAAGGTACAATGGGTTGGTGAGATTACATAAGATATGTATTCTTACATTCATGCAAAGCCACTAACGCGCATAGTGTTTCGGACAGCCTCATCATTAACAATATCATGTGGGATCTACAGCCTGTCCTGCCAACTTTCCGGTGCTGCCAGGGCACTGCCGGTCCTATAGGGACTCCCACCACAGCTGCTCCTTCATCAGATTCATCTACCACGTTCACCGACTCTTCGTCGCCACCAGGACAATTCAGATCTAACGGTTATTCCCTCGTTGTCCTGACTACCTGCCTACATTACCTCCTATGTTCCTGGTGGCCGAGTCCGTCCGCCCCGGATCTACATGCTCCATAGCGACCCAGGGAATAATAAGCTCATATTTCTGTTTCATTCTTCTTTCATCATTTCCTGGGAGGGGAAGTTACAATCATGATGAGCTAGCTACAAAATTCAATGCACATCGTCACATCATCATCGTCACATCATCAATGGGTTCGAGATCGACCACAAGTACAGTTTCTAAATTAAGCAACTGACATGTGGAGAGTTAGTGTCACAATTGATATGTTTGTCCTGCACACCGCCCCCCATCCAGTGGGCAGCGGTGGATAGGTTACAATCACTCAGTTACTACCTACAGTTAGCAAACTGGGGATATTTGGCTAAAATTTCTGGTAGCAGATCATTTTGAATGAAATATTGACACATCGTTGGTACATTTGTTATAGAATTGCCTCTTAATTTTTCGCACTCCATCACATAGTGACAGAGGGTGTGCGAATAATTTTGTTGACACAGTTTACATTTGGTCAGGTCTACATCAGCAGATAATGACAATTCCCAGAGATACTTGTAACCGAGTCTAAGCCGAGCAGTAGTAACATCTAGAAGTCTGCTGATTTTATTGGATGAACCATAGATGTGTGGCTCCTCTTGCATGATAGTATGATGATAGATATATCCTCGTCGAGGCCAATATTGTTAGTGGCTCTCAGGGTAAACTTAGGTAAAGATGACATCCCCTCAACCACCCGACAGGGGCCTTGCTGCTGAGTGGACACCGCTCTGGGGTCGTAGTCCCCCGGGTTCGATCCCCGGCAGGGGCAGAAACAAATTTGCAGGGTTTTTATCATCCTGATGCACCTATTTACCTAGCAGTAAATAGGTACCTGGGACTTCGACAGCTGTTACGGACTACTTCCTGGGGGTGTGTGTGTAAGAGAAATATATATATGTAGTAGACATAATAGAGGAAAAATAAATTGATTAGAGAGGCGGAGTGCAAGAGCTAATAGCTCGATTCTGCAGACACAAATAGTAAATGCAAATGTTTAGAAGAGGTGAAGAGAATGAATTAAGGCTAAACTCTGGCAACCTTAATACTGTTCCTTCTCAGTTAGATTAAGGAGCTAACGCTGTGCCTGTTATAGTGGCTTTACAAGACCGTAAGAACACCAATGTTATGTTCTCTCACAACACATTGACATTGAAATTGAAAAAAGTTTATTGAGGTAAAATACAAAGAGATGAGGTAGCTCAAGCTCTTCTCACCCCGTTCAGTACATGGTGTTAATACATACATAGACACACATCACAAACAATAAACATTACCGAACATTCTGAGAGATAAACATATACATTTCCTCACAAACACATTGTACCTTATTGTTTATATGTATAAATAAATATATATGGAGAGTGTTGGAACCTGAGGTGATGCGCATGCGCAGTGAGGACCCCGGCGCCGGCCCTTCACACTCAGCCTCACACTCTCTCACCCTCACACACTCACCCTCATACACTCATCATGAGCAAGCTCATCGCCAGGATCCCTGGCCTGGCCAAGTGTGAGTATTGTGCTAGGGTGAGGACTGGTGGCCGTGTTAGTGTGTTGCTCTAGGGTGAGGACTGGTGGCCGTGTTAGTGTGTTGCTCTAGGGTGAGGACTGGTGGCTGTGTTAGTGTGTTGCTCTAGGGTGAAGACTGGTGGCCGTGTTAGTGTGTTGCTCTAGGGTGAGGACTGGTGGCTGTGTTAGTGTGTTGCTCTAGGGTGAAGACTGGTGGCTGTGTTAGTGTGTTGCTCTAGGGTGAGGACTGGTGGCCGTGTTAGTGTGTTGCTCTAGGGTGAGGACTGGTGGCCGTGTTAGTGTGTTGCTCTAGGGTGAGGACTGGTGGCCGTGTTAGTGTGCTGCTCTAGGGTGAGGACTGGTGGCCGTGTTAGTGTGTTGCTCTAGGGTGAGGACTGGTGGCCGTGTTAGTGTGTTGCTCTAGGGTGAGGACTGGTGGCCGTGTTAGTGTGTTGCTCTAGGGTGAGGACTGGTGGCTGTGTTAGTGTGTTGCTCTAGGGTGAAGACTGGTGGCCGTGTTAGTGTGCTGCTCTAGGGTGAGGACTGGTGGCCGTGTTAGTGTGTTGCTCTAGGGTGAGGACTGGTGGCCGTGTTAGTGTGTTGCTCTAGGGTGAGGACTGGTGGCTGTGTTAGTGTGGTGCTCTAGGGTGAAGACTGGTGGCCGTGTTAGTGTGCTGCTCTAGGGTGAGGACTGGTGGCCGTGTTAGTGTGTTGCTCTAGGGTGAAGACTGGTGGCCGTGTTAGTGTGCTGCTCTAGGGTGAAGACTGGTGGCCGTGTTAGTGTGTTGCTCTAGGGTGAGGACTGGTGGCCGTGTTAGTGTGTTGCTCTAGGGTGAGGACTGGTGGCTGTGTTAGTGTGGTGCTCTAGGGT